AAGTGAAAATTATGTTTAACTGATGTAGAGTTTTTTACGTCAACTCCAAAAGAAGACGCCCATAATTGAATGGGATAAATCCTTTAAAAGGGTGCACAAGTTCGACAGATGAACTATTAATTAATAAAATGTAAATGTAGCGAAGGTTAAATAGCAATGAAACTATGGCAAATGAGCTGATCGAATTTAATGTGAAAAAAATTTCCAAAACTAAAACTAACTATTATAAAATAGTAATTGTGTACACCCTTATCTAACAATCGTACTAATTTATAATTATAATTTTATATTTTTCGAAAGCTCTAACGATCGAATTGTGCTACGTATACTTAGAAGTACTCTAGGTTCCTAAGACTTGGAAAAAAGCTGCCCATCAAAAAAAGCATGTTTCCTTTAAAATTATTAATAAATAAAATTTAAGTTTAGTAGTAGTTTACTAAAAATACTTTACAGAGATGTCTAAGGTAGGCACATGACCACTAACGTCCATTATCTTCTTACAGAGTTTATAGTGTTTAATTAATTCCATGTTCTAGATGATGTGGCAACTTGCTCTTAAATTGAGATTGACAAGTCTACTAGCCTCTCCCGTCTTATTTACATAAGCTTTCCCTTTGGTACGCGATTTGCTGAAGATTCAAGCTCTTAAAGTCTTATCATCGAAAGAGCTGTAATTCAGGCGGACGTAATATATGGACACTATTGGTTTTGAATGGAGACGGGAGAGTTTTGATAGGATTATTCATATTTAGTTGAGGTTTTTGTAAGACAGTTTACCCACGCATAACCTATTACACAGAGTTGTTGGCCTTGGTCAAAACTTTAATAGATTACGACTTTACTTACTGTCCTCCTTGCATAATTTTCCTATTTTGACTCACCCATATACTTAGAATTCTACAACCTACTAGTAAGGTTTTTATGAAGGTCAGGCTTCTTAGAATTCTGAATTCAAATAAAAAATTTGGAATGAGTAATATTAAGTCTAATAATCTTCGCGACTCCCTTAACTTGAAAATAACGAACATTAGTTCCTCTTGCAAAGTTGTTTAAGTGGTCGATCCTACGGCCATCCACTCATGCACAATAACGATTTTAAATAATTGAAACTACAACGCAAGACTTCAAAGAGACGAAGATTTAAGCAAATATACACGCGAAACCTTTTTCGCTCATTTACTCTATTTTTTAATTAATAACAACGTTATAAAACTTACAATTTTTTTTTTTCTTAATATTAGCTTTAACTATTTCAGTACACCTACATCCGTGCAATGTTTTATCCCGCAAAAAAATATTTCGAGGCTTATTCTGCAAAACACATCCACAGTCGACCACATCCCCTTTTCGTCAGAAAATCATCTATTACGTAATGACTTTTTTAAATCTTAAAACAAGTAAATATTGATGGGAAACAGATCTGGACTGTAGGGAGGTTGGTTAATATCCTTAAAGCCCATATTTCGTATAGCACGCTTGGCAACCTGAGCTGTGTGGTTGTCCGCGTTGTCCTGTAATAAGAGCATCCCTCTGCTAAGTTTGCTCCTGCGTTTTTCAATGATGGTTGTTGCAAATGGATGATTAAGTTAGCATAATATCGCCTGTACTTAGTTCTTCCTATAGAGAGGGATATCGTTGCCATAATTTTGGTAGTCACCTTTTGAACCTTGAACTTGCGCGACGTATAAATTTAAACTTTAGAGACGCTAAAGTAAAACTGGCAAGATAAGGCCCCGTAAATCTTCACACTGAAAACGCCAAGAAATTTTCGTCAAATTTTTTTCTTGATAACTTGATGAGTAGAGGGGTCACAGTAACTTACCCCATACACTCCGCAAAGAAATGGGTTCGGTGGAAAACGATGACGTCATTTAATATGGTAAGATCCATGCTGTTCGACTCTGGTATACCTAGAAGCTCTCCTATTCTCTAGCATTATTCTTAGTAATATTACATCACCGCCTCAGTCCTTGCACATAAACTATTGACAAGAGCAAAGGTCAGACATGAATAAGTTTAGTATTTTGGGGTACAAAAGCAATTATTATAATAACTCTATTAAGTCTGAGCTTAATAAGCAAGCTAAAGTTGGTTATTTTTTTGGTTTCGATTCACCTAGACACTGTTACGAAAATTTTGATCCAACTTTACCCCAAGTTTTAAACAGAAGAGATGTTCTTTAAACAAAAGTGCCGTTTTTAAAGATGCCTCCATTCATACTTGACAGGCGCCCTAACACAGTTAACAAAGGTGTAGAAGTTGAATCAATGCAACTGCGTCAGAATCAGAAACTTGGTTTCTTATTTCAAAAAGACGTGTCAGGTGGAGTCCTAGTCCACGAGCCATACAGAGAGCTGATCGGCCCTTAGCTTTTTTGATTTCTCATGTATCCTGAGTTAGGTGCAATATCAATATATATCATTCTCGTAAAGTCAATAAAAAAATCAACCATCTCGTTTCGCTTCTTCTTCTTGCACACATTTTTTTATATTAATTGTAAGACCGTGTATTTAATATATTATATAAGATACCACAATAATATTGCCCCTCATAAAACTCAAGAAACCTCAAAAAAACTGTTGTTTTTTAAGGAAGTAACTCTATTTTAAAGACAATGCTTCCTAAGCAATTTCCCCCGTAAAAAATGAATTGAGCAAGGGGAACTTGAGTAAGAAAAAGGCAAAACAGATAATTGGAAGCTTTCAGAGACCCTTTTAACATTTAAAAAGCTACAATGTCGTATTACAAAAACCATAATAAAATTGCTTCTGAATGTTTTTCGAAGGATTGGCGCATTAGAACTTAAAAGATCTCACTATTAAACAAAAACTTTTCTTCGAAAAGATTCAGATTGTAAATTTCTTTATAGAAAGGTTTGTGAGTATATTGTCCAACCGGATAGCGTTCTATCTCCTTAAAAGTCTACAAAGTAATATTAAGGAGTTATTCATTAACAAGAAATTAGCTGCTAGGAGCTAAAATTAAACCTATTGAGGAAAACTGGATAAATTACATTAATTCCCCACACAAAACAGTGACTCTTAATGATAATTGAAGATTGATACCCCGACAAAGGACGGTTATAATTAAAAATTCTAATAAATTACTGCAAAAGTTGATTAATAGCAGAGTATATCGTCTTTTATTGGAACGCACCACAAACTAATAGTAATAACTGAAGTTAATTCTTTAACTATTACAATTGATCGACATTAGAAAATAATGTCCTTAGTCTCACCTAAAAGCTTCCAAAAACAAAGAAAATACCAAAAAATTTAAAGGCCCCCTTAAAAAATATTAATGAAATCCACCGAAACAAATTTCGGTAACAGAGCTAAATATCGGACATTAATGGAAGGGCCCTTCTTCCTTAAGACGAAGGTATTTCTCTGATTTAGCAACATCGACACAAGTTTCTTTGAAGCTAGATGGGGCAGTAGCAATCTGTTGAAGAAAAGGAAGGTCAATTCAATGGTACTAGGGTTGTTTCTTAAATATTCCAAGAAGGTAAGTTCTTTACCTAACATTACCTCTAGCGTAGGAAAGACTGTTTAGAGGTCATTACACGGGTTAATGTGCAATGAAAAGAAGGCGATATGGGGGCACAACAATGTTTGTACGCCTAGTTATTGCTTTTCTTCTTAAAACTAAATTTAACCAGCATGGAACAGTGCTCATCCTGCGAATACATTGAAAGGTCATATTGCGGATCTATCCCGCAGGTATAAACTGCTTTATTTGCATCAGGGGGGGCGGTTTGGATCTTCATAAAACTTTATCCAGGATACGCAAGTAATGTTTTCAAACAGTTAACTCTTAACGGCATTATTGTAACAAATAAATTTGAAAACATCCCTCAAAGATTCAAGATATCTTGTTTTAAACTAACTGTGAACTACGGCACCGGCAAAATTTTTCTTCCTCTAAAGTTCTTAGTGCTAGAGATCATGGAAAAACTTGCTACGCTAAATTATTAATTGCATCTGAGAAACCTAAAATTTAAAAACTTTGTGTTCTTTAAAAAAACTGATTGGAAAAAAAAATTGTTACTTGCGTTTTTACATTTTTTTCTATATTTCAACTTTTTTTAAAAGTCAGAAATAGTGGTGATTATTAACTATTCGAGTTTTGAGTAGCGTTTTTAAGCTACTCGCCAATTATAACACTGTTTCAGGCATTCTTCGAGTATAGCAAGCTGACGATAGAGAAGGGAGCCTCATTCGGAAGGGAATATTGTTGCGTGCCCTCTGCCTTTATTGTTATGCACAGATTATTTTGTTCGTTCTTTTTATAATGTTTTCTATTTTGTAATTCAACTTATTTGTGTAAAGTAAATCATTTATAAATTATTAACTAACCCTTAATATAATTTTTGGGGATTTTACTTATTAATATATTATGACACGAAGTTTAATACTGAAACAAATTCTATTCTTTGCTTAAACACATGAAAGCTCTTAACAGACTTTCTATGTACCAAGAAAAAGTTTTTCTCCTCAATACTATGCTTTTAAACAAGAAAACTGGTGGAAGTTACAAAGAAAAAGGAGGGACGTGCCCATAAAAAAGGTCCCGAGTACTTGGAAACTTACCTGGTTGCTTCGATAAATATTTAACGCGTTGAAATTAAATTGTTTTAGAAATAAATTGACAACGCAGCCGCAAAATCTGCTTTAAATTTAAAGTTCGTAGGTACGAATTTTTATTCTTAGCTTCTCCTCCTGATAACCGGGCTTTGATGTACCGAGGATAGTAAATGCTGTCTTTGGCAAGGCAGTTATCCTATTTAAAAAAAGAGTAAGTAGTATTTATGTCGGCATGCAATCACCCGACTCCTGAACCGTCACTAAATTGCAGGAGTTACTGACAGATAATTGATATGTCGAACATTAAAGGTTTTGTGAAACAAATATTATAAACTTGTAAACCCCTTTTGAAAAGTTTGTTTTCCATAACTAAATCATTTGTCAAAAACAAGACTTTTCATAGAAAGAGGGCGATTAACAGGTCTCAAACAAGTTTATTAAGACAGATATTACATTTTCCAGGGAATTTATTCATCAAAGAATCCGAGAGATTTCAGTTAAGAAACAAACAGAGATATAGAGTACGTCAACCCTTCAATCCTGTTCGCTCTACTCCTCTGATTCTACCAGCTTATCATCATCAGGAATTTCGGCCTTGAGCTTTGTACCATCTTACCCATCCAGCCGTGGTGATTGATACTCTATTTCACCTGAAACGCCCATACTTACCACATAAGATCGTGTCTATTTTATCCCCTTGTCATTATGGTATCGGGTTTATTGGATACTTCACTTTCCTATATTTTCACCATTAGCACCGAAATCCCTCCCGTAAGCCTGGTGACGGTTTAGTACTTTTCCGTTACAACTTAGTTCGTATAAACCTGTCCTTAATAAAACTTATTGATAACGGCTGGCCCCACCCAATCTTTACCAAAACTTTGTTGTTAAGTACGAAATGAACTGTCTCCTTTCGCCAGTTTGTCTGCTTCTCTGGCATCTTTATCCATCCCGAGCATGTAAGCAACTTGTTATAATAATAAATTATTCGTCCAGCACTTCAACCCTTCTTACGTGCTGTTCAAAACTCCTTTTTTTGAAGCTTTTTTTTCTTTATAGTCTAAAGTGCCCGCAACTCCGTTCCTCGGGCGCTGATTAACAGAACTAGGAGCTATAAAATTTTTCATTCCGAAGTAATAAATACAGAGAATATTTGTCCTTTATCTCCGCCGTCTTCTTCACCTAGCAAATAAAAAAATTCTAATATTATACTACATTGTGAATAAGACTATTATTCAGCTTAAGAATTTTGATTTTTATAAATTTGTACTCTCTAAAAGGTCTGAAGTATATAAATATGTAGGTACAACTTGAAGAACGAACAATGGATTAATAGAATATTATAGAAAAGGTTACACTTAAAGAACTTAAGGGCTTATTAGAAGCAGAAAAGAGCTCTGCTGAAAATAGAACTGATAAAGATGACGGAAGTCCTACTAATGAACTTTGATAGCAGGTCAATATACCACGTTGTTTGCTACGTTCAGCTCTAAACTTACACGGTTTTCTATTTTTATAAGCTTTGAAGCAATGAAAATTTTTATTAATAATTTTATATAGAAAACTGTTGTAAAGCAGCCTTAGCACGTTCAGCCACATCTTTGTGCGAGTCACTGATAAGTATTTCAAGCCGTTTATGGATTTCTAAGGCGGATAGCGCTTCAATATACTTATTCTCTGCTAAAAACAAATATGGAATTAATAAAAGTGAGCGCCGCGCAGGCCTTATTAGGGTGGTACCCGGGCTACTGCGTCCAGGTTCCCGCCAGGTTAAGTTAAGAACACACCACGTGGCAGCTATACGAGCCTCCGGATTCTCGTGGAGCTATAAACATATCGATGGTAGTAAGAGAAAGTAAGAGGGTAGGAAAACTCATTATTTGTACCAAATTATCCCTTACGGCATTCAAAAGTGCATTATTCGACAAAATGTAATTCTTGTGTTCTTCATTTCCGGATGCGATGTTACTGCACGTGTAAAGCCCCTAAATAATCAAAATAAAAAGTTTTCTCACTGAAATATTATAAAATAATGTTTTATATATAAATTGTAAAACCAAAGTGTATAGAATAATTATAAAGATCCAAATCTATATATATATTCTTTAATACATCAATTATTAAAGTGGCATTAGCACCCATAAACACTGAAGGTAATATTTCCTTTAGTTCCTCTCCAAAATTATTAAGAAGCCGATTGATGTTCTAATAGGATTAATGTAATAATACTAGTAACAAATATAATAATTAATAACCAACTTTTTCTCCTTCTTCCTTGTCTCCAGATGATAAGTTGCGCAAAAGTTTGAGTGCCTGCTCTTGAACTTTGGGGTCTTGATCTTTTAGTAAACTTCAAAAAAATAAAAACCAGTAAACACAAAAATACTATATGTGCTAATAACTTCAAGAGCTGCTTCCAAGTTAAAGCATCCATTACGGCTTCGTGCATTTGTGTAGAAGATAAGTACAGCAAGTTTTTGACTGCCCAAGTCGCATTGAGCCTTGTAACAAAAAATGGACAACTATAAAAGAGTGTACGTTAGTATCAATAGCAACATAAGCACCGCAAAGCAACATTCTTGTGAAAAGTCAAGCCAATTAAAGAAGTGACGCCTCCGTTATTGATAACCTCCTTAGATGTTGTTATTTAAAATTTATAAATAATTCTATGAATAGCCATATAAAAAACATCTTTCATAGGAGAGAACTCGAGAATAACATTGCAAAGAGCTTCGCAGGCAGCGATTTGTACCTCTTCTGCAGGATCCGTCAGAAGCTGTAAGTCATTATTATAAACACATACCTTGGAAGGAAATAAAAAGTAATACGGAACTGATGACAGAAGAGAAACGAGATCTTTCTCCGCCATTGCAGTGCGGAGATTCTTCACCGACCTGGAAAGTGAACGACAGCATTCGCAGGCCGCCACGCGTAGGCCTTTATATTTATATACAAGAAAACAAGAGTAGTGATGGATGTACCGAAATAACAACCAAAGGCTTAACCGGTATATTCACTTTTGAGACTGGCAATAATAAAAGGGATGATTTTCGCATCGACCACTTGATGGCGGCATTCTTCTTGGCTGTGACAAACAGCAGCCAACGCTAGCAAAGCGCTCTGTAGGCGTAATATTGCCATCAAAAAATTATTACAATGTCTAAGGTCTTACTACATATATATATTTAAATGTTTTAGTTGGTCTATTGCAAAATAAAGTATTTATATAAATTTCTCTTGTATAGTGTATATTATATATAAAAGATAATTGATTTTTAATGAGATGCAAAAAATAATTCCTCTTGATATTGGATGAGATCGCGTTCATTATCATTTCGTGTGTTATCGAAGGCTTCGTGAAGGTTTTTAAGCAGCTCTGACTCGCAGGCAGCCTTTTGAAGTTTCGGTTCTTCGGCGATGAAAAAGGCTTATGACAAGTATAATAATAGTAATACATAATAAGCTATCTAACTAAGACCTAAAGTATTGAGTGACTGAATACGTATAGTCGGGGTGCCACTCGAGGACAAGCGCACGAGTAGCGGCAGCAGCATTGAAAATAATGCGCTTTTGTTGTTCAACATGTTAAGTTTGTTGAGGTATGCTAAACTAATAATGAGGAAGGAATAACACTGGATATAGTAGTAGCAATTCATAGTAGCAATTAATAGATGACCAACAACAAGCAGCCAAGCGAATCGAATCTGGAGTGCGCTTAAGAAAGTGGTATAAAGTTTTTTGAAGGTCTTTTTAAGAAAATTATTTACGATTTAGTAATAATCAATAAAGTAAGAAACCTGGAAAATTGCAAAGAATGACTTTTGCTGCCTGTTTGTTAGAATGTATGAGAGAGGCTAAAGTTTGGAGGGAAGATTCTTGCAGCTGAGTTATTATATTAATCAACCGATAATATTATATAAGGAAGAGAGTGAATATACATGGTCAAGTAGTAAAATCGTTAGTTAAATTAACTTATGATTCCCAAATCATTTTTTTTAAAGTTTTTTTTTCAAAACAGCAAAAAATTAAACCGACTAATTCAATTATTAAATGTGTTTTATTCAACTCCAATCATTGAGAATTCAGCTTGAAGAGAAACTTAACTAAGCCGCCCCACGCTAGCCAGTGTCCACTTATCATCATTATATACGCATAAAACCAACGCGGTATTCCCTGCGACTGCCATGCTTACGATAGCCTCGTTAACTAGTAAAGACCACTAATTTAGTAATAGACAGACTCAGATAGATTGGAGTTTCTAAAAATAAGAACACAAAAATGTAATAATACAAATAAATATAATAACTTTGGGATTATGAGAACTTAAAAACTCAATAATTTTTTTAACAGCTGACAGATTCGGATAATTGACGACCAAAAGTTGCCTTTCAAAAAAATAAATACTTTATAGAATTAGAATTTTTTTTATGAACCTTTCTGGTGTTCGACAGCTTATACTTATTAACTTCAAAGCATTCTCAACGATGGTTGCTGAGGAACTGGACAGTAATTCCACAACAACTAACAAACTCTCATCCTTAAGAAAAAAAAGAGGAGTTATAAAAGTATAACGAAATTTCTAAAGTTTTTTGCTTAAAATTTAAGTTTTAAAGTCACATGCAATTTTTTAGAGAGTAAGAACTATGGAGCTAAATAATTATAATAATTAACTTTTAAAGTAAATTTGTAGGTAAAATCACAAGTGTAAACAATTTTAATGGAGCGAATGGCAGCCTCGGCCACATTATCATCTGAAAAAACAATAATTAAAATAGACTAAATAAACTTATTTAAGTAATCGAAAAATTAAGTATTAATTAATAGCAATATAAAATTATATAAATAGACACCTTTATGATTTAAAAACAAAGTTAGAGTGGGTAATAAATTTGAGGCGAAAAGTGCAGTCAGACACTCTTTATCGCCTTTAATAAAAACGTTATTAAAAATTTAACAATAGTATAATAACGTTCGAGGAAATAACAATTCTTTTACATGTAATAAAAATTTCCATCTACAAATACTTAGTTGATATACCATAAGCGAGGCTTCCTACTATGACGCAGGCTTCAATTAGAAGAGAGGGATGGGCTTCATTACTCAAAATTTTTTCAATTCTAAAACGTTTTTAACTTTAGTGAAACTAAGAAAGGTGATTTTAAACAAATATTGGGTGATAAACACTCGTAAGCCCAACACTTGCTATTTTATAATAAAATAATATTAGTTATTTCGTAGAATTAACTCAGAAAGGAGACCACTCTGTAAATACTTTAACTTTTTATTACAACTTCCAATTATTTCATTTTTAATAAAACGAAGATTAAACAATTTAACGTGAAAATCAGAATCTAAAAGTCCAGAGAGTGTAGATTCTATAACTGAAACCTTTATAAAGGATATTTTTATATCTGGTGAAGAGAAAAGAAGGATAAAAATTCTTACTGGCATATTTTAAGTAAAAAAAGAAGAATGTCACTTTTATATAAGAATGCAAGTAAATGAAGCTAAGCAACTAAAATGGAAAATAACAATCTCTGCGAAAGTGGGGTAAAAAGTAGATAATAACTCTTTCCTTCTGGTGCAGCCAACTTCTTCGGGACCGCCCTTCGAGAGGTCGATTGTTAGAGGTACTACACCACACTCGACCAAATAGCGGTTGTGTTTCTTAGATCTTCAAATTCTCTTAAGCAGGTTAAGATCTTTTTTTATTTATCAATCGTGGAGGGCCAAAAATATTATTACGTTAATTTTTTTTAAAAAAATAATTTAGTAGACCTTTGACCATAGAGTCGTTTTCACCGATTATCTTTGTTTTTAAGTTTTACTTTGCCTTTATAATCGCCAGATCTGGCACTAATCCAATTCCCCATCCCTTCATCTTGTTATTTATTTACTGTAAGGTGCTATTCCTTCATATTAAACTAAACTTTTAGGTTTTTGCTGGTTTTTGTATTTAGTCTAATGTTGTTAGACTTAAAAACGGGCGAAGGACAAAGCCTTATTGTTGGGCAATTAAGGTCCCCGCCCTTAATAAAATTTTTTAATTTATTTATATTTTTTTGTTACTTAGGCAGATGCTTAGAAAATATTCTAATTATAATGAAAATGTACATATGTATATGATTATAAAGTTATATAGTGAGGTATACACTTAATGAATACCGCAGGACATTTTGCAAGAGCGTTTATACGAGAGTTTGTACTTAAGTTCTTGAGCCTGCTGTGATTGAATAGTTTGGCACGCGTATGTTAGTAGAATGTTCCCGAATGTTCGTGATTAATCCTAGCTGTGCCATAATTAACGGGTATAAATAGCTGGGCAGACTACTCCGAAGTCCTTTTCATAGCTAGCGCGGGGGCTCTTTTTGTGTGGTAGTCGATTCATTGCGTTTGTTTACGTATCGGGCGGGCAACGTAACAAAGTTTGTACGTTTGTAATTCTTGTTATTCTTCGCTACCTTTGATAGGCGCTGTAGTTTAAACTCTACGCGAGAAGATTGGGAGTTCTAAACAAACAACTGCGTTCCCACGTTATATAAACTTGAAATTTTTTTTTTGCAGCACTATGGATCAGTCGAGTAAGGAGAGAAATATGCCGGTTCTAGTGTTAACTCTGAGGAGAGGTTGCGCAACTTTTGTTTAGAGCTGCAAAAGATGATGGAAGAAATAGCGTAGGGATCGAGATGATTATAGCTCAAAGTTTCACTATGGACATGAACTCGTTAAGATCCGAGATGAGGGTCAAGCTGGAGGGATTAACACCTTGCAGACATAATGAAATATTTAAACCGATAATCGCTGATAGACACTTAAATTGGCTCTTAAAGCTCAGTGAGTTGGTCGACAAGCATTACAAGGAACTTGTCGTGGCAAAAGTCAAGGAGCAGCAGAGGAGACCCACTGAAGAGTTGGTTGAAGCGGTGTAGTTGATCAGCAGTATTAGACGAGTTCGTACCGGTAACTTTGCGGGTTGCTTTACATACGGGGACAACCTTTATACTCCTTTTTGTGTAAACGTAAAGAGATATACTAAATGTTTTGAGTATTCCCGTTTACTTACTGACACTAAAACGAACGCTCGTTATTCTAACTTCAGGTTGAGTGTTCGTTTAGTTAAAAAGAAATGACGAGATAACTTAGTTGAACGACAGATAATGGCAAACATTGTTGTAATTTTGGACGCATGGTAGCTTTATTAGCGTTAGCGCGTTGTCAAAGTTTGGTTTGCGTTTATCAGAGGAATCAAGCCTACGAAAAAGTTTTCAAGTTTATGTAGGAAGTAAGTACTGGACACTAGGTTCGGTGTTAGTTAATCTCCTAAATGAGATACCATAAAAACTGGTATTAAAATGTTGTATCTCATGATCTAGCTACGGGTGTAGATCTTGCTCGGAGAAAAAATTGGAAATTTTTTCTTTTCGGATCATTATATTGTCGAGAAATGAAGAAAGCCATTAGTCTACTTCAGAAGGTAACAATAAAGTAGTGGGGAGCCATTACAATAAAGTCCCTGACAACGTATTTTTGCCGGCCTTTTACGACAGATAGAAAAAAAGATCTGGTCTTAGTTATGGATATTCGCAAGATGGTGAACGCCAAGAAAATTGACAGTTTGGCAAGGATAATATATAAATCTGAAATGGGGTCTAGATGTAAGAAGCGTGATGGAATTGGAACCACACAAAGTTAAGCTTGAAAGTGATGTGTTTAATACTTGGACCAAATATGAAATAAAAGATAAGACAAAAGCGTTAGTTATTATGAAAGAGGCGGAAAGCTACTTAGAGCTGGTTTTTTGAAAGTTACTACTGATAGGAAGTGGAACCATATGCAGGTTGTAGTTGAGAATCTTAGTATAAAGGGGGTATGCATTAAGGACGTGAAAAAAAAGCAGGAAAAACATATGCGCATGTGCGATGCTCTTTAGGGTTTCAAAAAGACATGCGTAGTAGAGAGGTACAAAGCCCCGAGTGAACGATTTATTAGTATGACAGTAAGTTCTTCAGCGCTTTTGATAATGCGAAAGGCTTTTACCGGTGAGAAAAAGACGTTCACTCAAGAGAGTATTTTGCTTTTACTATGCCTAACGACAGGAAGGTACAGTGGGCGGTGGGGCCTTTTAGTTAGGTGAGTGTACCCTCTTAATATTAAAAAAAGCATAAATATTATAACGACTGGCTTGCAGGATACACATATTAACGTAGATGACTGCCTGGTAGCCACAGAACCCAAAGGAGATCACTATCAAGCACTTTGTGAACTAGTGATAATATATGAAAAATTTAATGTAAAGATCCGGTTAGAAAAATGCAAGGTTGTTCGAAGTGAAGTATGGTGGTTGGGGAGAGAACTCACCAACTCGGGAGTCAGAAGGGGGAAGATCCAAGCGCTGCTTCAAACTATTTTGTAGTTCGATGTAGAGTTGACTCTTTACGTTTGGAGGCATCTTATCTGTCAGGTCCATGACTTGGTTGTGATCTTGCTCCAAACTTGAGATTACTTCACCTCTTTTCTTTTGGAGAAGAGATGATTTATCGCTTTCGACTTTCAGGAGAATAGAGTTCAACTTTTTATAGTATTCCTCTTGGGCAAGAAGGATTTCCTTGTCCACATTATCCTGGTAATTGGGCACCGCATTCGAAAGCGTTTTGCCTGCAACCACGGTTGTTGTGATTAAGAAGGCTTTAGGAGCTGTTCGGCTCGCTAAATGTATAGATAAGGACTCTTTGGCTGAAAGAGAGGTTAAGAGTTCTTTGTTTAACTTCTTCCACTCTTGTAGACGTTCATCATACAATTCCTCTTTCAGTTTGTTAAAGAGCGGTAGTTCCATCTTCCTTTTGAGAAAAATTTTCCTTTAAGAGAATCTTCAATAGGTTTTGGTTAGGGTTAGATGGAATGGTAATCTTTGCAAACAAAAATTATCATAAAGCTTCTTGAAGATACACAAACTATTTCTTTTATCAATAAACTTTCACATGCGGTATAGAATAGTTTTATTAATAAAAGTTTTCAAAGACATGCCAAAACCAAAACAAAAAGGTCAATTACCTAGTTTTTTACAGTCTTGAAACTACTGGAGCAAGTACATCCCTTATTGTGCTGTAATCATCGAACCGCTGCTAAATTGTTTAAAAATAAGGTAGATTTTGTGTGGGACAATGAGAAAGAAGATTCGTGGAGAAAGTCTTTAAGTTACTGAATCGGAAAGTATGCGTCGAGTATATAAATAATGAGTATGACTTAATTCTTCATACAGAGATCAGTGGTATAGGAGTGGGAGGTGTCTTATTTCAAAAATACGCTGACCGCTTGCACCATATAGCTTTTGTGAGTACTAAATTAAATGAAACCAAAAGGTAATGTAGCACTTGGTCCACTAACAAATCAATAGACTATATTCATTTAAGTGAAAAGAGACTTATAGTTGAAGCGGACCAAAATCCTTCCTGGGGTTTTTAATAGTGAGCATGAAGCTGAAATTATAAGGGGAAGAATTAAGAGCATTAAACATATAATGCAATATATGTTGGACATTAAAGTACATACCTGGTAAAAATAATCTCATTGCAGATCTCTTGTTAGGGCTCCCATTGAATGAAAATTTAGTTATCGAACAAGTGAAGTTTACTTCAACTAAGGAAAACCAAGGTAAGTTCGACGTAATTAAGCAAATTCACGAGAATTGGTTTCACGTGGGAAAAAGGAATTGAAATACTTGGTTGGTGATGGCATGCTTTACATATTAATAGAAAAAACTGTTAACGGCTGTGGAGTATGTTGACGTTTTAGCAATAGGAGTATACTTTTTAGGGAGAAACTTAAGTTAATCAATAGAGCAGAGGACCTGGAGCATCTGGTCGTCGATATAATGAAAATGCCGAAGACACATGAGGGTGAGGACAGAGTCCTGCTAATCTAAGATAGATGTTCAAGGTTTGGATTGACGTTTTCCTTGCAAAAGGAGTGAAGCAGAGGGGGTGCCTGCCTATAACAGTTGTTTAAGTGGTAAGTCCTAAGAAAATGGCATTTGATAGGAAATTCGGTCTTTGTAAGCAAATCCATATCTCCATCTCTGGTTGTAAAAGGAGTTAAGGCTCACTTTGTCACTACAAATCACCACCAAAGCAAAGGAATAGTCGAAAATATATGTAATATTTAAAAGGCGAAATAATAAAAATAACCATAAATAAATTTTAATAATAATAATATATAAATATATAAGGAATCACGTTATACTGGATGATAGCCTCAACCGCTTCTTTTATACGATATCTATTATGATAAGTCACGTGCTCTTCCATGTATTTGTGTACCTCATGTGTTCCGTTCTACTTTCATGTGCTCTTGTCACGTGCCTTTCACATGCTATTTATTTCTGTTTTCTCCTTAGTTTCATCATTACTGCATTGTTATTATTATATTTTTCTTTACTTCGCATTTTTCTGCTTCGTCCAAAGTTTAATTTCCCTTCCATTTCTTTACTTCTTGAATCAAAAGAAAAATTTAAGCCAGTGGTTCCCTTCGCCTTTTTTATGTACTAGAAAAGAAGTAGAAAAAAATTATATCAATTTTTATTAATTATTACTGAAATTATTATAAGTTATTGATTTTATTAAAATTATTAAAAGGGTATACATATTATTATTGTAAAAGACACTGGGCCCGATTTCTTTTGAGAAATCGCTAAAAAAAAAAAAAAAAGAAATTGTGTAAAAGCAGCAACTCGCAAAGCCGCTTTCAATATTAAAATTTCTTTACTATTAATAAAATTTTTTTAAAAAAAATTAAGTTATGGAAGTTTTTAGTCTTTTCATTTTTAATTTTTTATGCAAATTTCTAAAAGTTACCTATTTTATGATTTTTGAGTTGATTAGTAAAGTTAGTTCAGCAGGTCTTGTACGAACCAAAATTTTACAAGAGCATCGGCTTGTACGCGTCTTTTTTACTTTATAATAAGAATTCTGGGTCTTACTTTTACACCTTATTAAATTTATTAAAAAGGAAATTTTTTATTATAATGACAAATAATCTTCCAGACAAATATTTATAAATATTTTAAAAAATATGTTATTAGAAACTAAATTTTACTTGCCACCAGTTGAGTTTTCCCTATAAAAACGAACCATTAGCTATATTAGTATATAAAATAGCTAAAATTAATTCTTGATAAACTCAAAAATTTAAATTTTAAAAGTTGCCTTGGCTATATAAGCAGACACATAGTGGATGAAACAGTCAAATTAGTACTATACAAACTTAAGTAGTAAATTGTTTTCTTTCATAAAAATATTTTAAATAACGGTGAGTTAATTTATTTAAACAAAATTAAATTTATTAGTAGATCAGACCGTTGAAATTAATACTAAATAAACTTTTTAAGCATAATTTTATATATATATTATATATTTATGTCTAAATAAGATCAAGTTTAATTTTTTTAACCGACCAAATAGCTTTGTTAGTAGAAACGATTAGAGTAATACTTTATAATTTCCAGTGGTGTAAAGGTTTTACTTTTTAATAATTAAAAAATAATACCGTTAAGTTGGATTTTTTTAAAACGTATGATTAGAATTTATAGAGAAGAACTAGTTAAAGTAATACTTAATAAATTCAATTGATATATATATGAAATTATATTATAATAAGGTTAAATTGGATTTTTTCTTTTAAAAAAAAAAAACAATAAGATTTATTAATTAATAAAACAGTTAAAGTAATACTTAATAAACTTAAAGTATAACTGTTATATTTTATAATTATATATATTTATATTGTTGTGTAGATTTTAATAAACGGACATCATATGTGGATAAAGATTTCATAATCTCAGAGCATAATTGATTACCCTTTATTATTATATTTTGATAACGATAAGTTATCTTTTCCAAAGCAGACAATTAGTATATTAGATGAAACGGTTAAATTAGTACTTGATAAACAAATAGTATTGTTGCTATCCTTTTATATATTTTAATAACGTTGAAACGGATTTTATTATTATGATCAATTAGATTTGTTAGTTATTAAAACAGTTAATTAAAAAATAATACTCATTAAACTCAAAAAGTATTATTTTTTTACTTTTATAAATATAATAAAAAGATTGTGCTGTAAGTAAACTCATTTAGAAACTTACTTTTACTTAATATTAATTCATTATTCGTAAAATAGAATTTTTGTTAACTTGAAAATTGGAATTGTTAGTAGATCACACAGTTAATAAATTTCCCCTTTTTTCGAAGATTAAAAACAGGCACAGCAAGCAAAGTGGAGTTGTGGGTTTAAAAAAAGCATTAAAAAGTTATTTTTGGCCTACTTATATAAATAGCCAAGTTCTAAAGATTTTATATAAAAGAAGGCTAACCAGTCTAAAAAAAATAATAAAATAAAAACGGTTGTCCTTAAATCGTTATGTTGCTTTCTAAAGTAAAAATCAACTAATTAACACTAAATATCGCGCTTTTTTTTTTTTAAAAATTTGTATAGGAAATCCAAATTGATAAGGTAACTTTATTTTCTTCTTTTACTACTTTTTATATAAAATTATTAGTTTTAAATTTACTTATTACAATCAATAAATTTCTTTATAAAAAGTACAATACCTTTAGAATCGTTTTTTAAAATAGAAAAAAAACAATTATTTAATATTTTAAGAATTTTTAAGAGTTTATTGAAAAAATAAATTATTTTTTTAACATACATTTTTAAAGTACATTTCTTTAATTTAAAGTTAAATATAATTTTTTTTAGTAATTTTATTAATTTTATTTTGAAGGTAATTTTAAAATATTTATAAGTTTATTTTTTAAAAAAAAATATTAAGTGATAATTGAAAAGTAACTTTATATAAACTTTTTGTACTTCATATCCTTTTTTTTATTTTTATTAAATTAAAAAATGAATTAAATATAAAAAAAAACTCGATATTATTTATTTATAAATTTAAAAATAAATATTTCTGTTTTTGAAAATTTTAATTATATATTATTTTATAAAGAATATTCATAAGTAAACTTTCGTCAAAATAATTTTTTATGTGTATTTTTTTTAATAAATAACTTTTAACTTTATTTAATTTTTGTTTTTAAAAAATTATTTTATTATTTTTTGAGAAAACTGTAAATATGAAAACACAATTTTATTTTAATAAATTCTCGATATTAAAGTAAAATCAGTTTAAAAATTGTTTTATTATAAATTTATATATATTTTTATTTCTATTTTAGATTTTCTAGGTTTCGCGGCTCGATAGTTATAAATATATATTTTTTATAACGGCTAGTGACTAGCCTTTAGGAGAAAACCTTGCTTATGACAAAATTAAGTAACGTGAAAAAATGCATTTTGACCTAAAGGAAACAAAACACTAGGATCGCAAAAAAAAAGGCCAAACTAAATAAAGTTGTTTCATTAAAATAATTTATATTCACGGAAACTTTCTGGCATTTTTTTTAATTCGTCCGGATTGTTAAGGTTAAAGAAATCAACTAAAAATATTAGTATGACTACTATCGCTTTATGATGTAGGGCTAACACTGCTATCTTCAGCTTAGAAAAAAAACTTTTACTTGTGTCTTTGTTAAAAACAAATCCTTTGATAGTTTTATAAGTGTCTGAAGTCCAAGAAATAGCGTAGTCTAGTAATGTTTCTTGGGGTTCTTTATTATAAAAGAAAGTTACACTACTAAACTAGAGAAGACTGATTGCTTTGATTAAACTGTATACCGCAAGAGCAACAGGTGCGCCAACTGGTCATGCTATGCTTTAGTCATTTAGTTTAATTATTAAACATAAGCTAAACTTTCTTTAAGTTGTCTCTTACTACGCTAGGTAATAAAATACCGGCTTGAAGCTGAAAAGTTTTAAGAGCAAAAATATTACGGCTCCTCTGTCTTAGATGGAATATAAAGGTATAGAGCTAAAATATCATCTTAATTTAGCATAGCCCACCTATTGGTTCGCACCAGTCTAAAAATTATTTTGAAAGGCAATAAGGAAACCCCATTAACTCCATTAAACATTCTATGACTATTTTAATATAAATATCAGATTATTTAACAGTGCCTACTTGATTATACCCGACGTCGGAAAACATTGCGGCAAAGGGGAGTATCGAGTACTTCCTACGCTTTAATCCTTAAAAAAATCTTTTAAAGTTACCTCTTTGTTGGAAGCAATCATGTCTGGTGTGTCAATGTTGCGTTTATGCCTTATAAATGTGATAGAATGTCAAAAGATAAAGACCTGCAGCCATTCAGTATGGTGATACTGTAACTTGTTTTTAAAATTGAAAAAAAAAATTTCTACTTTTTGACGTATCCTCAAGTCTCTGTAGCTTCAGTATTCCCGGCTATTAAGAGTGAAAGCAGGGCACCCCTCACTTTTGTAGATTGCTTCATTAATAGAGCAGAAACTTATAAAACGAGTCTAAACGTTTTTGCATCAATTGCTGCATGAAGCTCTATGAATACCCTCCTTACTCGAATTGTTTTTCTTGTATTAATGAATTACGCCCCGTTAATAAAATGTTTAAATAATAAATTTTTCGACCACAATATTTGCTAATATATTGTTAACAACCACCATTAAACCAAAACTCCTTGTTAGTCATAATGTAATTACTTTTGATTTTTAACTCCATTAGGTTTCTGTTGTATAAAGTCTAGAGTTTATAGTATGATGGACAGCCGAATAATATAGAGATTGCATCCGTCATATAGTTCAAGTGGAAAGCTCGTAAAATTCGTGGGTCCAGCTACATATCAATATAAGGAAGCAAGCTACTTTCTGTGGGATTATCTTGATTTGTGCCTTTCAATAAATTTTTAATTTAAAAATATTGTGTGCTAATGACTAATTTTAAAAATTTTTTAGTACAAGTTAAAAAAAAAACAAAATTTTTTAATAAATTCATTTATAATTAATATTAAATAGAAAACATTTAGCTTAATAATATTTAGTACACCATAAGTAGGAGAGAAATACAAAATTTACTATGTTTTGAATATTATGGGGGCTTAGAATTGAAATAATCCCAACTACACGGTTGGTTGTCTCCATTGATAACCAGCAATAACCAATAGCAAGTAAATAATTAAGAGATTTTCAAGTAGCTATGACACTGGCTTATATTTGTGCAAAGGCGTAAAAATTAGGTTTATATATATTTTTTTTTTGGTTGCACTGTTAAGCTGTCTATCTCTAACAGTACGCATATGTGTAGATTATAAGAATTTTTTCCCTATGTTTGCTTGTACTATTCTGTGATTTTACCGTTATTCGTTTAACGTACTCGTAGTCTATTTGTTTATATTGTTGGTATTAAAGTCTTGTTTAGCTATTGTACTTAGTAAATTGTATTCCCTGCCTCTTGTAAGTTCGTCGTCATAAATAGGTACGTAGAGTCGGCAATAGATTCGGGTCTGGGGCTTGGGTAGAATTTTTTCCTCTTTATTTATTATATAAATGTGGTGTGTATTTTTGTTGTACTTTATTGTAAGCATACGCATTGAACAAAAATTAAGAACTATTAAATATAATTCTTTGAAGAGCAAAAAAAAATAGCAAAAGCGATGAGTAGCCATCGGACATGTAGAAATTTTAAAAGCTTTCCAGTTGAGACGACAAAGCAATCTCCAACAGATGCCAGATAAAAGAGGAGTTTGTGGGTGTAGCTTTCTCATTCGTACAAGCTGCCATATGTGTGAATGAAAAAATTAAAAACATTTGTGAATTCCACAAAAAGGGAGCTAACCAGCAGGGGTCTCGACTTTCTTGCTTAAGATCTTAAAGCTGTCAGCAAAGCACCACAAGTCTCTAAGCAGATCGTATTGCAATAAAGTCTTTCCAGAGCGGAAACAAAATAATCTAAAAAGTTCGATTATAAAGGAAACAAGATTTAAAAAAAAATAATCGACCTATCCTGGCAGAGCAGAATGAACAGTGCAATTGCAATGGATGACAAAAGGCTGTTTTTCACAACGGCGGCATTACAGTCCGGGGAGCCGACCATGGCGGCAATATGGGCTACGAGCCAATGGTCATCCGCTGCAGGGGTCAAAAGAGCGCACAATTAAGAGAGCGGGGGTTACTAAGACATACGGCCGCAATCGTGTTCAAGTCTTCCGAGAATTCTTCTGAAAAGATTCAAGCATGAAACAAACGAGGCGAACGAGGGGGCCGCCGGAGAGAGTACGAATCCAGACTCCACAAAGGGAACATGGACGTCTAGCAGATAAAGGGGCTCAGCAAGGGTTTTCGGTAGTGACGTAAGCAAGAGTGCCAGGGCAGTAGAGGAAAGTGTTCAGGATGGCAGGCGGGGTGAGATGGTAAAGAACGAAAAGGCTCTTCTGAATGACCCGCACAAATGCTGCTTCAGCCTGCAATAATGGCGGCAATGTTGTTGTTTCTTTCAGAAAAAGTTTGTTTTTATAAATGTTTTCCGTAGAAGAGAGAAGAACACATGATTGGCTTTCTCTGTCCTCTTCACTACCAGCGGCGTCGCGCTCTTCGCGGGGAAAAGCCACACAGTTCTTCAACCTCTCGGCATCTGAAGAAAAGTATGCTTACCACGGCCCAAAGCAGGAGGACGGCAGTGATCACGAACCTTCCAGCGCGTAGACAAACAGATTTAACATCTCTAAGCATTTTACGGTGGCAATAGCGAGCGAATCGGAGCCGAGAGACTGCAACCAGCGCTTGGAGCTCACCAGCGACGAACTGGACGAGAACGCACCAATCTTTCCTATAAAAAGTAAGTAAGTGAGGACAAGTAGTCGAGCAGTGGAGGAGGCAGTGCGAGCACCGAGTTCCAACAAGAGCGTAAGAACACTTTCAGCCTCTTCAAGCCTTTCACACGTGACTTTTTCACCCTGCGGAGAGAAGCATTTGGGGGTGTGCAGCCCATAAACTACAGAAATGCCTTTCATGATTGGAAATAAAATCCGGGACAGATAAAGCCACCCGTTAGCCGCTCGAAATAAAAAGAGACAAATGAGATGACGTCCTCGGCGAAGAGCTCTGGGGCGAGACGGAGAAGACCGGCAAGTAAAGCAAGAATGTTAATCCAAAAGGACTGCCAGCTAGAAATAAATATAACATAACACCCCAAACTACAATAAACAGTTTTCTTACGGGCCCCTAGCAGTGTCTCTGGTCGAAGCAACGGAAAACTTTTCTGAGTTACGGCAAACGCTAGAGACAAAATGAAAAGAAAAATATGAAAAACTAATGTATAATCCACCATGAGAGCAAAAGTTTCCCTGCTTGCTCTTCATGCAAAAACTTTGCACCTTTTATTAAAAAAGTAAGCAAAAGATACAAGCCACACAAATGAAGAGAAAAACCCTTTTTAGTGGTGGAAAGCGATATAAAAAAATTTAATGCAGACACGACTAAGCGGCCTCTCTTCTCCTTCATAATATACGTCTCGAACAGCAAGAAAAGTTGGCCAAGGAAGTTGGCGAGTTGACCTTTCTTAAGAACTGAAAAACTCTTCTATTATAAACTATTCTCACCCTTACGGTACAACTAGCGACAGCGTAAAAGCTAACCGAATCTCCGTGACGAAAAAAAATGCGAAGAAGAACGCTGGAAATTTGCAAGCCCACCTCGCTGGCTTCCGCAGACTCGTCTTCTGTAAAAAAAGTGAGCAAATCACAGCGAAAAGATAAAGCTTTCGCCACACCGTCTGCTCGCAGGAGAGCGTGCACGCGGATGTGCAAGAGCTGCAAGACATAGTAAAAAGTCCACTGTATGCACAACCAATCATCGTTACACAACGAGGCCTAACACGTGGTTGTCATTGACCATACTGACAGGTCCGACAAGGAAAAACCATGGGTGCGGCAAGGTTCATATCGAGATTATTAAAGAGGAAGAGCAACGTGTTCAGGAGGTCCCGCTCCAAACTGCAAGTATAAGCACGTGTTTAACGAGCCTAAATAAGTGCTTTTAAGCAACGAAGCAGACATCAAACATGCTCCTCTAGCCACGCGTTCCAATGTGTTCTCCTCTACACCGGCAAACAAATTTAGCAAAGGCTTGTAACGCAATCAAGCTCAATAGGGCACCGGCTATATGATGAGAAATGAGCTCTTTCATAAATTTCATGATGTTTCCTGTGGAGTCCGGATGGTCGAAGCTAATCAGTATCACACTAAAAGACAGGTCACTGCCTGCAGAGACGCAACCCCTACTTGTAAGAGGGGCAAGTCCTCACCAGACTCAGCAATGAAGAAGTAAAAAGCTCGCAGGGACGTGCAGCAGAATAGGAAAGTGAACGATGTAGAATGCCCAGAATATCTTCCACAACTCTAACGGAAGTGCCCTCGAAACTCGGCCTATCCATAGGAAGGTAGGCTGCCTTCTTATTGGACAGTTACCGAAAACTCACGTGTTAAACACTCCAAGCCAACAGCACACTTCTAAAAACATGCGCCAAGAATCAGCAAGGCGGTGGTTGACGGCTTCTAAGGAACTAACGAGTCAATTAGTTACTTTTCCAAAAAGTGATGTTTTATAACGCACCAATGTAAATTCTCCTCTCTGACACGGTTGACTAGGTCGGTCAACGGAGAGCCTAGGGTGTACCTTCCCAAGCGCTCATTGGTAGGGAGTATTTTGGCGGTCAGTAAAGGGATATTGATGCGGTAATTCGGGCCATAGAGAGTACTTTAATGACAATTAGTCAAACATAATGAGCAAAATGAAGGTAAGAGTTACCTTGGGGACCTAACATAGAAGTCGCGCCATGACGATGTGCCCAATACAACGGTGGAGAGGTTCTTCAGGGCAACGGAGCGCTGGAAAACAGATTCTTAGTGACGCGAGCACGAGAGTGGACGGACAAGAAACCTTCCAGGTGGCAGAGGAAAGCTCGATATTCTGGGAGAGAGACCGCGTGGCGAACTGCGCATAGACCCACCGCTGCACTCGACTCTGGAGAGCAAACAAGATTTTCTACAAGACGAGGACGGCTGCTCTAAAGCACTACCAGCGCGTTCTTCAGCAGTGAAAAAAAGCCTGTCGGAAGGGACTCCAAAAGATCTTCTATACAAATAAAAGTCGTCAAACTTCTTTTCTATCAGAAGTAACGCAGCAGCGCACACCGGTTGGTTTTAACATGCAAAAGGTAGCATAAAGTTCATGGCACGCAAGCTGGAGCGCCCAGGCGCAGTGCACGGCGCAATAAAAGTCTTGCAAAAAAATAAAATGGCGACTTTATGAAGGCCGGAGTTCTTGAGGTCTACCACGAGTGTACTGCTTCTCCATCTCAAGCCTATCGGCCTTGCTGCTCCCGTAATAGGAGGGATCAATAGCCACTAGGCGGGAGTCAAGACGCTCAAAAAAGGAGTTCAACGCGATCCAGAAATGCTCGTGGTCCCTTAGCACGTGCGTCGCACTGGAGACATGACAAGCTTATCATCGATAAATGACAGAAAGGGAAACCTGCCAAGAGAGGGCGTCTGCCACAATTCTAGTAAGAACAACAGAACCTCCTCTATAAGGCGTGGATGCGTCATTTCGGTGTTGCTTTCTAGAAGTCTAACAACCGCCTTTGCCGAGTCAATGAAGGCTTCATAGGGGCCCCACGTAATCACATGTACCGAAATCAAACCATCCGGGCCAAACTTGAGTTCGGGGTTTGCGTTCCCCCTCCCGTTGGGACCGCATCCGCTCTCCGCATTGAAAAAAAGAAAAAGCAAACCCGACGATGATGCCAGCGCGGCGCGAAGAAAACCGACACACGCAATTTTCAGTTCTGAATTCACTTATTTTTAGTGAACGACGTCCACATAACAAACCCCACATACGCTGAGGGCAGTCCCTTTCGTGAAGCTGTTGCGCCAGTGCCTCTCGGAAATGGTGGCGCTGCAGCTCAAAAAGGGCGGCTAAGGTGGGAGGGCACTGCTCTTGCATTTTTCCTGCAAGAACGCACACCTGAACCAACCAGAGTGGGACGCAAAGGACAGTCAAAGAGTCAGGCAAGCACCTTCGTGACAATCTCAAGGGCTCCAATAAGAATTATCTCGCCAACAAACCCGCCAAAATCAATGAGCGAGGCGGCAACGTGGACGAGAGACGGATGGCCAGCGAGGGGGATGGCAGTAAAAAAATTGAAGATATAACGGGAAAACTGGAAGAGGAAAACTTAAAAAAACTATCAGAAGAAAATATAGGAACTGCCAACGGGCTGCTCCAAGGAACTTGCGAAGTCGAGCAGAAGGTTAAGAAAACGCAGTGTTGAGTGAATGAGCTTCTCACGTGCTAAAAAAAGAGCCAATCAGCTGCGCGTAGGACACACATTGCCCAATCGTAGAAAACATCCTACTGTGGTAGTAACAAAAGTCTCTGGAGGCCATAAAAAGCAGTGCCGTTTCCGTCAGTCCAGCGACACCGTTGATCAGCGTGGAGGAAAGTGTACGCAGCCTTCAGAATTACGACATAACGACACAATACACCCGTACGGGAAGCAAAATATCAAGTGCCTTTCATCCCCAAACAAACGTTCTAGCAAGGCACTTTGGAATACAGCGGCTACAGAGTTAAAAGATCGGCTACAAAACCAGAAAAGTACGTGAGTCACTACCTTCTGCGCTGGGATGTGAGCCCTCGAGAAGCTGTGTGCAGACGTCCACGAGGAGAGCCCTTAAAAAAAAGGTTAGTCTCATGAAAGGTACTGCAGCGAGAAAAGAAGCGCACTTGAGCTTGTATTTATCGCGAGTATTGCTAAACGGCCATTGGTCAATCTCGCAAAGTAGATCGCCCCCACAAAATTGGAAGCCACACAGAAGTTGTTGGATGTCTAAACGGACTTCACGAGGACTCGGAAGTAGACGAATTGCAGTGATGATAAAAATAAGAAGAAACCTTCTGCATTGGTTAATGGAATAACATGCTCGGAAGGAAACGAGCACGCTAACCGAGAAACTGAACAAAAATTAAAAGAAGTTCATAGACAGTTCCTTAGTTTGGCTAGTACTTGTATCGAGAAGGTCGTCGTACTCCTGCAGCAGAAAGGAGCCCTCGTGGCGCACGCCCAGAAGCATTCCGACAGTGCTCGCCTGAGACGGGGAAAGCAGTAGATAATCGCCCGCCTCAAAGTTGAGGGTGGACGACTTGTACGGCTTAACTGCTACTGCAATATCTAAACGGGCAGCAGTTGAAGAAAGTGCTGCAAAATAAAGAGAGAGCTGCCAACCAACACGAAAAGGCAACCGGAGAGAGGTTCTTAGCAGCGACCGGTACAGTTGTATGTATTTTTCGGTAACCGGATATCTCGCTGTGGAGGGTGGCCATTATTTTCACTGCAAACGCTGTACTGGCTGCAGAAATACCGGCTGGCCTTTCGTAATTTGCAAAAAATTCGCGAAAGTAGTTCTTTTGGAGACCAGTAGGAAAACAGAAAGAGCAGAACGCTTGCACTTCCATCTGGAATAACCAATAACAGAACGTAAAAAGAACAAACGATGAGCATGTGCCCACCCGGGATAAGCCTCCAGGAAAATCCCCGCCGCACCAACCATCAAGCGCCTGAACGCAACTCAGCGCAGCCAGTAGCAAGCAAGGAAAGCACCGGAGGCAGCCCTCAAAGCGACAGTACGGAACGGCGGTGTTAGTCGCACATGTTTGAAGAACCAAGGTGATAATAGCAAAACAGCACCGCAAAGGGGGCTCTGAGCGCAAATAAAGCCATATTAACCAATGGGGACCCTTAAAGCGTATGGGGGAGAAGCAGACCTGGGATATACGAGAGTGCAATGGAAGGAGATGTTGCCTGCAGTTGTAGGGTCTGAACAACAAGCCTTCCCACCTGCTGCAGCTATAAAAGCGTAGAAGACTATTACTAAATGGCGACGAAGTTAGCAAGTGCGCACATTGGCCTGCTGCTCATCGCCAAGCTCCGCAGTGGCAGAGACAGACCGAGAAATGAAGTGGCCGTGGAGGTCCTGAGAGACTCTGCGCATCATTAAAAACTATGCGCGTAAGAGAAAAAAGGAACAACTGACCTTTCCAGGATAAGAGAAAGCAGAGAAGCCAATGGGCAACTAGGAGTGTCGTTATACAGAACTTTGATACTCTTCGTGGCAGGTTAACTCAAGCATATGAGACAATTATATAGTAGACACACATGCAGGTACGGGGCCACAAGCGTTGCGCATGTCTGATTGGCCGATAGCGCCGTGAGGAGTCGAAGAATAGAGAGAAGATCGGAGCCGAAATTGTATATGTCCCCGCCTTGACAAAGCCGTTATGGCATGTGGTCAGTCACCCACAAACATACGCAGCCTTACCGTCCGCTGGCTGCAGGGACAGATAGAGGGCGCTGTCACCCAATAAGACGTTTCGAATGTCGGCGTCCGTCAACCACTCCATGAACGAGGATGATAAATATAAGCACGTCATGGCGGGAATATTCGAAGTACCTCCGCCAGAAATACTTCACACAAATCAGGGCTGTGGAAGAATAGGCAAGCAGCAAGATTCGCTACTTCGGCACGCAAAGAAGAAACATCGTAGCGGTGCAGAAGAAGCAGGAAAACATAAAAACTTATTTTTCTAAGAATCTAATGAAATACGAGACGTTACAAGGCGACGAGGCCGGTAGAAAGAATAACAAGCCGAGCCTTGGAGCGTGTGCGACGTGAAGACACCAATAGGGAACTCAAATGACTGATATGAGGGGTGATGGTCTCGATGCTGCGCGAAATACTCTGCGTATCGATTGGTAGAGGTATCGGGGAATAAAAGTAGCCAGCCAACCATATCGAACGGAATCATCATAGTGTTCCACACAAAGAGCAGGAAGTCGGGAAGGGCCTCCGCATTGGGAATAGAGCACATGTTTCTCTCGCCTCTGAGCTTTTCCAGCACAGAAGCTGCTTCGCATAAGCCGAGAAGAAAAATAATCGCAAGTCACAGGCAAGCTACTTATAGTAGGATGCAGCGGCCAGAGGGTTTGCAGCGGGCTCGACTTCTCAGAATCACTGGATAAAATTAGTGTAGTATAATGAAAATATTAATATATTCTAATAAAACCTACTCCACGCTAAAGTTTAGAGCGGCCTGCAAAGGCAAACAAGCAAGAAAAGCAAAATGCAGATTAGCCAGAACTTCTTCAAGAGCCTCTTGAGGAAGAGAAGACGAAAAGTCAAAATCCCGCAGATAAGTAAGATAAGTTGCCTGTCAAGCAGAATATAATTTATAAGAATTCCCAAATAAAACTCAAATAAAGTTAGGGAAATTTGTTATCCTCAAAAGTGTAAATTATTTTTAATTAAAATAATTAAATTAATATACTTTTCGAAGATCTTCCATAAATATAAAATAACAATCACAAAACAAATTTGTGATAAAAAATAAAAAAAGTCACCTCGTAAATTCTGCAAAGCTCTTTCAGATTTTCAACGCAGCCCTGATTGGCGTGGCAGTAATACAAAGCCGCCTCAGAAAGTTTAAGTGATTCGTAGAAACTTTCGTTCTCAAAGGAATAATCTTCAGACTTTCGAATTCGAAAAGAGTGAAATTAGAAAAAATAAAACTACAATTTATTGAATTAATAATAAAGGCAGTATTGTTTTTTAAAAAATTTATATAGTAGAAAAAGATAAACTCACTAGTAAAGTTGAAGAACGGCGAAATAGTAACGATTGCTCCAGTTCTAGAAACAATTCAGTTCGAAACTCAGCATTCTCAATAAAATTGCTCTTTTCATATATATATTTACTGGTAAACGGTTTAAAAAAGACAAAAAAAAAATCAAAACGATTCATCTTTTACTAATTATAGAAAATAAACAAGAAGCTTTTAGGTATTTTAACAAAAAGATATGAAGGGTAAGAACCCGATTAAATTATTGTAATTATAAAAAAAAATAAAAAATGAGTTTTAGATCACCCGAACAATATACTTGCAGGCCTCGTCTTCTTTTAAATTGCTTAACAAAAAACATACACTTGATAGCTGCCAGTAGCGCTCTTCATGATAAAGCTTAATAGCCTAACAAAACAAAAATATTTAAACGTTGTTGCTAAATTTTATCATAAACTTTAAAAAAAAAAGAAATCAGAAAACTAAAAGAGTAAACCTCCTTTATAGTGTCATCATGCTGTAAGTACAAGGAGTCTTTGAGTCGCTCCTTGGCTTGAGCAATGATGAATGCATAAAACTGGTCACTTGCTTTAAATACTTGCTTGATCTGACCAACTAAGTCGGAATCACCTTCACTTTTATTGTCCTGGTCATTAGAAAAGCGTAAAAAGAGTTAAATATTTAAAAAAGTCCATAATATAACCTTAGTAAAGATTTGAGAATCCTCAAAATACCTTAATAGCTTGCATAAAGTATAAGATTCCGTTTTAAGTAAAGCGGCTAAGCTAGGGCCCTTTAAATTAATAAGTTGAGCCCATAAATTCTTCCTTTAAAAAGGTGGCCGTAAGTAATATACCATATAAACTAAATACAGTTTAACAAAATAACCGCATCCTTGAAGAACTCATTAGTTTAACTCAGAGCCGTGAGCCAAAAAATCAAGAAGCATGGAAAGAAGCACTAGTAAAAGGTATGCTCAAGCTTGTGGAGGGCATTAACAGATAAGAAACACGTTTTGCATAAAAAAACCCACAACTACTAGCTGATATACTTGGAGTCTAGACTTCGCTTTATTTAGGGCAAGCACTTATTTAGTTTCGTTACTTGTCCTTTTAAACTATCTTAGGGAGTGGTGATAAGGCGGCACTTCCATCGAAAAGCGATTATCGTTTTTAAAGCCATTTTGATCTCACAGATTTGGAGTTTCAACTTAAAGCAAAAGATTATTCTCAGCTAGAAATTTAAAAAGACACTAGGCAACTAAGTTTTTAATCTTATAGCGATTGATGATAAACTAGAAAGATCTACCTCTCTATTCAAATTCTATAAAATGTTATTTAATCTGGATGTAGGGCTTTTTTCTGCATACAGAATTTTAGCTACCTTATCGTCTAATTATATGCTTATAAAACTTTAAAAAATTTGTATGAAGACCTAGCCTTTTCTAATGAAGTTAACAATAACTATCACCATATACTTGTAAACAAATTAAGATAACTTACCTTCTAGTGGTCCACTAACAGCTCCTTCTCTCGATTAATAAATTTTTTTTTTTTGGAATTTACTGCCTACTAAAACCCTCTCGTTTTTTTAGAAAGCCAAGATAACACGAGGGTAAATATATTTGTTATAAATCCAATGTTTACAACGTTCCAATTGCGTAATGCTTATCTCATAAACTACTAGTTTTGTATATTAAAGATATACAGGTATTTTATTAAATTTATATTGTTTAGTAAAATATGTTAATTTTCTCTTCCTTTTAAAATTTTATTATGTATATGCTTCGGCCATACTATTTCGGCGAGCCAAAGAATTTTAGTAGCCGAGAGTAGTTTTATTCATAATTATATTTACCGGAAATTCCCTTTGCAAAGTTTCTAAGTTTTTTTTAACCCTTTTCTAGTTTTTACAGTCAACATTAATATATTATGAATGCCTATAGTGGAAAGCATCTCATATCCTACATTTCAAAAGTTCGCTGTTCCTACAATTGACCAAGGTAATCGCTTAGGCACGTAGTACATTTTGGTTTATAAAAATGTAATATCATGTATGTGCCGCCACTACGCTGGCCGTCACGTCCCAAAAATTCTTTATTTTATCATTTTTGTATAGAAAGCCTCGTAAATAATTTATATTTCGGGACTTCCGCAAGTATTGTACTTTTGCGATGCAAGATATTCGTCGTCCATTTCAAGGGCAATATGCGCTTCCACGGAGTCTGTCGTTGCCATTCGAAATAATTAAAGAAATATAGGATATGGGAAGGTAAGTAATACCCAAAATCCAGTACACCGTCACCGTCGGTTTATTATTATCAAAAGAATGGTTCGCTACAAACAAGTTTGCGTCACTTGGAATCTCCGTAGTCTAATGAAGCTCTAAATTGAGCATGTTTTTAGGGAAAAAACTACAAGATAAAACCTCTCCACCACCAGCATGAATCAAAGTACTTAAAATCTGCTTGGGAGGACTAGTATTGGAGTCGACATAGATCACATAACCCTTGAAGATGGTGGGAACGTATTTTCCTCTGGAACCGTGCTCTTCGTAAAACAGCTTTCTCTCAAGGCGGGCCACCTTGGCGCCAGGAAACTTCTCAACCAACTGCATAAATCTGGGTTAATAGTACATGAACGTATACCCCGCAACACTTCAGGGGGTCCCCACCTCATAATTCTCTTCGTCCAGCCAACCACCGGCGGAAAGTGACTGGAGGACCCACTCCGTAGAAATAAGCCAACAACCGTTAGCTATCGCGTACAGGACATTAATAGTTCGCCGCGGCGCTCCGCAAACAACGTGAGTTGTGCGTTCAGAGAACTAACAGGACCAGCAAAAGATTTAATGCGCGGTAAGCGGTCGATAGAAGGCCCCTAAACCTTCTCCTCATAAACGGAGTCTTCCAAGTGCTGAGCTGTTTGGATCAAGATATCCCTCGCACTTAATAAATCGTAGAGTTGAGGTCATGTGCAATAAAGCGAGGTTATATACGGCCTGCCTGCCATCGAGACTTGTTCCAACGATATGTCTCGCTGCGCATACTCGCTCAGCCGCCGGATAAGAGGAATTCTACGAGGTCGATAGAGTAAACTCATGAAGTACGGAAAAAAAGCGAATGACAACTTCGCAAGTGGACGAGTGGGGCACTGCTAGTCGGGCAGTCGAGTTCAGCGCCAATGGCTCTTCCACACTCTCGACACGCTGCTTAACCGATTTTTAAAAAGTTTAAGGATACCAACAAAGAGCATAAATTACTAGCGGATTATCTGCAGCATTCTTTCCGTCTGAAGATAAGTAATTAGTACTTAGTTAAAACAATACAAAGACAAGCCTTTACAGCCACAGGGAGATTCCTTGTGCCCCATAGATCTTCGTCTCTTTAAGTCACACGCAAAAATTTAATAGAAAGCGAGTAATAAGAACCAAAGCAAACCTTCGGATCTGAAACGGAGGGCGTCTCTGTAACGCCAAAGTCGGCCTCACTAACCCGAACCCGTTCGTTAGCGCAACTAAACGGTATGCACTGATCATTTTAAACTGTATGAAATAAATTACAGCGTCAACCTCTCTACCCACAGAACGGTAACAATTTGAACATGATTCCTTTCCGCTTTTTCGTAGTTAACTTTCGATCCCTCTTTGAAGATCTAAATATAATATCTTGCTACAAACGTAAATACATGGCTAAAAGTATTTATTTACCAAGTGTGTTACCCTGGAAGTAAACCGACTAGAAATCTAAATATGCACTATAAAACAACGTTCCGAGTATAAAGAAAAAGTAATTTTTTACTTCTGCTCCCAGCTGTTGAAGTTTTGTTTTAACTGCGTTATTTGTTTGCGCATTGGAGGTACGCACATCCACAAACGCCACAACTCCTGGAGTGTATTACGAATATTAAAAGTAAGCAACAGATATTTTAAGACAAAAAAGCTGGGTAAACCTCTGAGAATGTACTTTAAATCTTCATCGAAAACAGTCGCTTCTAACAAAAATATTTAAAATTTAGTTTATTTGATCTTTAAACAGTCAGCGAAGTGTTGTAACGTTAGTACTCACCTTTCTTACTTCTTTTTAAGCTTGCAACCTTTAAAATTTCATCCTTACTTTAAACAAAAAAATTAGATCCCAAGAAATAAATAAATAAAAAAGAGAAAATTAACAAGTTACTGGTGTCTTTATCGAACCCGTTAACTGTTTTTACTAATTGGTGGGTAGTAGGAAGGTTATTAAATGCATTTTTAATACTATTTGCTCTGGTGGATAAATCAGTAACAGAGGTTTTTTTTCGGTTTACTTTTGCCTCTTTACCATTCACTTTATTTTTACCCCTTAATGGTTTTATCGCCTGAGAATTTTTCTGAGTGAGACCAAGGGGGTCTTGATCACTGTTATTATCACTGTTTTCCTCTAAATTCTATTAATAATTAAAAAGTGAATATAGCTGGAGTAGAAAGCTTTAATTATAGATAATAACATAAATATTAAAAAATCTTACATTTTCTTTTATATTTGAGCGTTTTAAGCGAGTAGGAGGCATACCGCAATAACTTCAAGCAAATTTTTTTTAAGGCTGCCAGCTTTTACAACTTTACAAACTTTAAGAGTTCTAGTGGCGCCAAAAGGGGCCCGATGGTCACATGATATGCCACGAGGTATAATTGCATACGTTTGGCTAAAAAATTAAAACCATTTCCTTAGTGCATACTAATGCTAACAATTGTAGAGCTTTGGTTTCTTTCAATTCATGTTTCCATGATCAGGCCGTACGAAGTATTTTTACAAATTTTTTACTCTTATACATTTTAATTACGTCTTTACCTGTTACTTTTTGACCTAAAAAAATTTTTGACTTTCATAAGGTTTCCATATTATAAATTTAATTCGCAATTCGTTTATTAATAAATTTGTATAGGTAAGCTATAATTGTGTGTATGGGATCAAAAGCATATTAACGAGTAGGTTCTGGTTAAATCTGTGACTGCAAGCAAATCACGTATAAGTTTGTACATTTAATATCGCTTGAGGTTGCTATAAATAAAAATATATATTGCACGTAGATACCTCATAAATTACCAACTGTTAAATAAGACTTAAAACTTAAAATATTTTAAAAGGCTGTCTAAAAGGTAAATAACTTTTAGGCCATGAAGTATTAGGCAATAATAACTTTAATATGAGCAGTCTACTAAATTTTTAAATTATATAAAACCATTTTATAATTAATGACGACCCCTTTAGACTGTTTTTTCCCTTTTCTTCAGTCTCTTAACTTTCTCTTATACCCCGCTCTAATTTTTTAACGCAAACAATAGTGATTTGCTTTTTGTTTAGAATATAATCACCTTATAGCTGGAATCAAAATTTGATTATTTGAGGGAAACTTTTTTTGTTTATTAGGTATATAAATTATTTGCGTAAATAAATAATTTTAATAAAACATGTGCAGCTCGTCCATTTTTTTTTCGGTTTTTACCGGGTTTTTATTATTGTAATTTACGTTTAAGAGACAGCAATTTTGTAAAGATAATAGCTTCAGTCTAGAGGGCTGAAATAAAGACTAAACGTGGAGGCTGTTTTGGTTAAAATTGCTATATAACTTAGTAGCCTAGAGATCTACTAAGTAAATTCTACGTTAACTATCTATTTTTCAAAAAGTTTTAAATAGATTAAAAACCTTTATTAACAGGTCAAGAATTTAACGCTTTGTGAAGGCACGAGCTTTTTTTTTATTCCCAGGGGCAGACAAGTTCCCAGGATCTAGAGAGTCAGAGGAAAGAGATAGACTCCTAAACCTCTGAGCTCGCTTGGGAGCCAAGTCCAAGAGGAAAGGATCCCTGGATCTCAGAGAAAGAAAAAAGCCCGATCCTTACACCTCTGGGCAATCCTAGGCCCAGCGATTTAAAGGTTTTTGAACTCAATCGTCGTAAGGGTGAGGGGGAGTGTCGAACTTGTGTGTATCCTTATAACAGGTTAATCACACTCAACTGGGGTCGTCCTTTTTTGGAGTTGCGGTTTATTAGAAATCGATAACTTAATAAATAATTTCCTGCGCCCTTAAGGCGGATGTCCACTTTTTGGTGTGGTGGGAAATAACAGTTAATCCGACACTTTCTCTTAACTATTTATGTAAAATGCTAATTTACCCTCACCGTACCTCATTCGTTTGAAATACCTCGGTGCTTCACTTTCATTCTCATTAATAAATAAATAGTTTCTACTACCAGACATGACTAAAACTCGTTTTAAGTTTTTGCTGATCCCTACATAACAAATAAATAAGTAAAACTTTTGGCAATATCACAGGATACTTTTGTGACATCAAGTTTTATATAACAGCGATTTAAAAACGCTGGTTCAACATATTTCTGTTGGGGCAAATAGTATTAAAGTTAAAGCTTTGAACGAAGGTGGTGATTTTGTGACTTGGCAGTCCTTTAGTGGCCCGTGGTTTAACACATAGTAAAACATTAATAAATAGTTTGATCAGCTGAGAAGCTAAAACTTTGCGCTTTTGATTTCCATTACTTACGGAAAATGTAAAATTACTCTTAATTTGTAAGAGGACACGGCGATAATTTACCCATTTATCGTTCACTATACAAGGATCAGCATTTTAAAATATACATAACTGTCCTTTTTTTTTACAAAAAGAAAGTTGCTTGCCTGCAGAAAAAACCAATCCGTCCGTTTTAAACTAAATATTATATTCAAGTCACTGCAGTTTTAAATTCTATCTTTATAGCTTTATACCACAGTACTTCAGAGACGTTAATCAACCATTTATGTAACCGCCAAAACTACTCTGGTTTCGGTCACATATACTTTAATTAAAAAGTGTTAGGACTTATTATTATCCTTAATTAATGGGAGGGCTGAACGAGGCGGGAAATCTGCTAAGCTTTTTTTGATAACACCGAGTAACAAGTGAGTTAAATAAGTGCAATAAATATTGCCAAGAAATAAGAAAGTATTAAACTATTCCGGTGTACTACCACACACAAGAAAGACCCAGTCCGCTCTCAATGAGCAACGCAGATCAAAGGAAAAGGATAAATGAAAGAAAGTAAAAACTAGGGCGGAAATGTGATTTTAATATATATACCCTAACCTAATCTAAACCTCACCCTCTAGTGGTTACAAATCTAACAAAAAGAAAGTATTTTAAAATAGAACCTAAGCCGAGCAAGTATCATTTACGAAATCACAAATATATCAGACAAAAAATATTTACGAAAATGTGTGTTTGTTTAAATATAAAACTACGTAATAATTATAAAACCAAAAATAAAGGAATAAACTGAGTTTGTTATGCTATGCGAAGCATAACCTAGAGCGTCTGCTAAAATTACAATTTATTACTTTCAAGCTTATTCTTAACACCGCAGCTGTACCCTAAAGAAATGATTATTGTTATGCCAGGAACAGAAACCTAACTATAACTTTTATTGCAATACCTAAACAAGAAAAAATTAAAAACAAATTTAAATAACTTATAAATATTAAAAAAGCCCAGGACCTAACTTCTACATCACAAACAAATAGATCATTATTTACGACCCTAGGAAAGCACTGCACTAAAGTGATTATAGAAACTAAGTTATTTTAATTCCTTCTCACATTTTCACGAAGTTATAACGCCCCCTTCTTTCCCTGTTAAGCCTGCTTTATCTTTAAACTTAGTTTTATCATCTGGAATTAGACAAGTACAAAAAGTATGTATAAAGCCTTAGTTGATACATAGAAGGAAGCAATGATGAAGGTTAATAAGAGAAAAGGGGCGGTCTCACATCGTAAAGATATATAGTTTCCATAATCAACCGCACCCGTTCCTCTTTGGCTGTCCCTTTGAAAAGCTCTAATCACTCTCGGCAACGTCAATGGCATTTTCAGTCCTTCATCTAGTATAGCATCCCTTGGTAATATTTCTGGTCCATTTAAGTTATAGTAAGCACCGGTAGCGTAAATGAACCAAAAACTTATACTAGAGAATCTAGACAGTAATAAAATGGAGAGGTATTACACCATGTTTAAAAAATTTGTGACTTATGTAAAATGGTAGCTAGACACCACACTGACGCTAATAGCTCATTATGAAAGCATTGGTTTTGTTGATTTAAACAATGTTGAGAAATACCAGAAAACTGTGTTCTCAAACTTTTCAGCAGTTTATAAACCGGGAGACAATCATTTTGGTTATAAACTCTCCATAAGTAAGCAATACAGATCTCCATGTTAACTGCATAACTCTCTTTCTAGCCTAGTAGTGACAAACTATAATGTTGTTTAAACAGTTCACGTTTGTAGTGGTCTCAAATTTCAATATTAAAAGCTCTAAATTTACTCGTCTTTAGCGCAACCAATCAGAGAATAATTATCAGCTAAATTATCGGGCGTGTGATGTGCGTTTGAGGTCGTGTTGTTTAAGTTGTAAATAGTTTTGGTGTTATAGTCGAAGATGAAAGGAGTTTTAAACCAAGTAAAAGAACCAAAAAAACTTTTGTCTAGGGCTAAGAAATTAGCTCAAGAGAGGCTGCTTAAGAGAATTTTGTTTCTATTTTTCTTGTTATTTGTTCTAGAAGCTTTAACAGTTCGTTTTTATGGTTCGCCTTTACAAGAGTTGAGCGCTCAGGTGACCCTATATTTTCAAAGCTTATTAAATTATGGAATGACAGAAGAAATTAGCGAATTCGTACATCATTCAATATCTAGTCACGGTTGTTTATATATATTTATTAGTCTTGTTAGATGACAAAAAAAAAAAAGCAATATTTTTAATTTAGATTGGTTGCTATTGTGCGCTTTGATTTATTGGTTGGGAGACGCAAAATTTGGATCGGAACTTTACACTATAACCAGTTTATCTTTTGCCTTGAAGTCCTTGTTAAAGAATTTACTCCGATCGCCCAGAGTGTTTTGGGTTTCAAACAAACTTCTTTGTTTTTATTGCGGAAAGGGCTATAGTCTACCTTCTGGTTAATAAATAATTGTGGGCTCAATTTCATACTGCTTATTTTAGTATATTAAAGGTCACGCAATGATAAGTTTTATTGCTCTAAGTTGCATTGCTTATAGAATTCAGAAAAGTTGGGCTCTTATCTTATTAATAATGTTCGAAATAATAACTTTTGTAAATGTAATCTACATCGGGACTCACTCATTTGCTGATGTTTTTGTTGGCTGGACATGTGCTGCTATTATCTTTTTGTTAAATGTTCTTTTTGAGCTCAGGTAACATTTAAGTAAAAGGTTTCTTTAAAAAAGTAAATTTATTTTTTCCCCAGATCCGAAAAGTTTAAGGGTTTCCTAGCCATTTTTATTTTAATTCTTTTATTAGACGTGCTCGACTTTTGCTTTTCCTCTCCTGGGCCCTTCTTGATAGAATGGTACTCTAAAAGAAGGATCCACCCGCCGTCTAATGCTGTCTTAAAATTCTATTAGGCGAATTAACATGGCTCGCGCCTGTAAAGTGGACTTCGACTTAACCTCCTTATTGATGGTTCTACTTATTATTAATACTTCAAAGCTACTTGCAAAGCTTCTTCTATTGAAGAACTTTATCGACTACAGTACCTTCGATTATCTTTTCGGTGCTCTCTCATGGCGGCTTCGACAATGGTAAGCTTCGCTCTGCAGCAAACCTTGCTAGCTAATCTTGAAACCGTCAACCGGACACTTACTTCTTTTATTGGTACCGATCTTAAATTTCTTTTCGGTTTAAAAAAATTCTTATAAAAAAAATCAGGCATTTGCGGATTTCTTCGGTCGCATATTCTCTTTAAAAGTATTTTGAGCTTTCTTCAACTGGCTGACTACTCCCAGCACGCTTATGATGTGTTCCTCCCTTTATGGGTGCTTTATTTAGCACCAAAATCTTCATCTTACGTCAAAGATTTACTTTTAAAAAATCGAGGCATATTTGTTTACAGAAGAATCAACCAGTATTTCTTAAATATTTTATTTTAAAAATATTTACAACTATTACATAATGAAAGAATTACAAGGTTTCGATCACGGATGTAATAAAATATTTTATAAGGTAGCAGAGATATAGAAAACATTATAGCCAATGATTATGCTAATGAAAAATAAATTTTATAAATTATTGTGCTCGCACAGAGAAAGAGTTTCCTTTAAATAAATAATTTCGTAGTTGGGATTATGTCGAACCAAAACACTTGAGTTTGAAAGTTCACATATTGAACAAAACGTTAATAAAAGTCCGAAATACTTAATACCTGTCGGCTATAATATAAGGAATCTCCACGTCGTCAGCTACCATGCCCGTAACCTCGAGGGCATCTCCAGGCTTGACCTTATGAAATTGCTGAACCGCAGATTTTACTAGTACTGTTATCACTTCAGATCCGTCATCTGGAAGGGGTAAGATGGAGTGCGCTCTTTATGTGTTACTAAACTAAAGTAAAGCAAAACCAATTACGACTTCCTTTAGGGCTGTCTCTTCGTGGCAGCGGTAGCTAACACAAATCCCAAAAACTCTTAAAAAGTGTTAGTTGAATTAATCAATAAAGTGGGCTATAAAGTGGACTTGTAACGACAAATAAGGAATAAACACTTTACTCGGCTAATGTCAGGCTTTCTTGAAAAAAAATATCTATTAAACTATTAGTTTATTTGAAGTAACCCAAATTATTTATATGAACTTGATTATTATAAATAATAACTTAAATTAAGCGACAGTATAGACCTATTACGTAAAAAGACTGTCGACTAGCAAGTTTAAAATTGAAAAATATTAAATTAAAGATAAATTTAACGCTCGTAAAGCCTATTCTGCGCTTGAGAACCTCACCAGGCAACCTTTCTTTTTTGGAAAACCGCTGTTTTTTTAATAGTTAATTAAGAAATAGATCACTCCTTAATTTTAATTTATATAGAAAACAGACGCAACTAATAATGAAGGGCAAAATCTATTCTAAGGGTCACAATAATTATGAACGTAAAGTACTTGATAATGTCTTGAATAAAGAGTTGGGAGTAACGCGTAGGCTCCTCAACTTTAGTTAAGGTCGAAAGTTTTAGCTTGAAGTCTTCCATAATTAAGGAAGATGGGTATGCAAAAAATTAAAACCCTCAACAAGCGTAACTTGCTAGCCCTAGTTTTTACGAATGTAAGTATTTGGAGCTAATGGCATGAGAGAACACGCAGTGTCTATGCACTCAGTGTCATGAACTAACACAACTCCAACCTTCTCTCAAACCTAATTCTATTGACGCTGAACTAATCGTCAACTTAGCCAATATAACTTTTAACCAATATAACTTTTAATCAGTTATACTAAATCTTCCCAGCCTCCACGCAGGAACAAAAAAAAATGGTACTTGTATTACTATGCCAGATTATACTAGACAGGGTATCTACCGTATAATTCAAACCTATTCAAAATTTCAGTTATTATTTTTTTTTTGTGTAGTGTGTTTAAAACCTTTAAGCTCTTCGCTGTACAACTCAAACCTCAGAAGTTCATAGTAACTATGAAAGGTTCCATAAGCATTAGCCATAGCCTAATAGACAATTATATAAGGCCGTTTTCTGCGTCGCATTATGCCATTCAGAGTGTAAGCAAATGTTTTTCCAAAGCAATTAGTTCTTACTTCTGACATTTAAATAACTGAGATGATATTCCTACACCAACAAAGTCAGTGAGTTAAACTCGTTAGAATTTAAAACCTTGATTATTGATTCCCTGCCCCCTTGAGGTGGGCGTCCATTTTTTGACATAGTATGCAGTGTAACAGACCAAGAGTTTGAGAAAATGAAATTACTAGATTTGGTCATGTAATGATCATGTAATGAATTAAATTAAATATTGTATAAAAATGATTATTCATTTAATAAAGATTTGAGAGATCATATGGATGGACCTCCAAGCTAACTTGCTTGCGCAGTGACAAATGGATGTTGGTGCCACCCAAATTTACTTTCCCGGAGTTACCTGTTTGATTAAAATAATTTTTTTGCTTGTTATATTTGGAGTGACTCACACTTTCATATTAGCTTTTTTTATAAGCATGTAATTACAATGCTAGAAAACCTCTAGGGGGGCCTAGGGTCAGTGACTGTCGCATGCTCCTTGTTGATCCCTCTACGAATTTCCAGTGCAGGGGACTAGATGACAGGGGACCGCGCGCATTGATCAGTATCTCACTGCCCTGTAGACTCTAGGAAACCTCTACGCCTCTCTATGGTGGGTTCGCGGCCTAGAGCTCGAGTCCTAACCGCTCAATGGAGGGGAAAAAATCGACAACCACACGTCTTGAACTAAACCCTCACTGAAGTAAACCGACAGTAAGTTAAAGCCCGCGGCTGTTTTCTTCTGTTTTTGTATGTCTGGTTTTTCTTTCCTTGTGTTAAAAAGGTTTGAGGCTCGGTTTATATGATCCGAAACAGAGAGCAGTCGTTTAAAATTTTTAGAGCTTAGATAAAAAAAAATTACAGACCTATCGCTCAAAAAATGCTACCTATAATCATAATTAATTTTTTTTTCAGTCTACAGGGTATGAACACTGCAGAATTCAATAAATAATTGACTTTTAACTTAAGCCTTTTTGTTAGTTAAAGACGAGGGAAGAGCAACAAACTCTGCTCAAATCGCGTTCGCAAAAAAAAAGTTGATGCGTAATTACGGTTATATTAGCATACTTAAAAATTTTACTAATGTATTAGGTTTAATCATTAAAAGTTAATAAATAATTACGTTTGCGTTTGCATACCTGAAAACTTTACTTAGGTATGATTGTAATTCTTTTATGAACGGAAGCATAACGGAAGAGTTGCAAGTATCTTTAGCCACTTGGTGTCTTGTGACCAAGCGATGGTGGCCCTTCAAGGAATGACGACTGAAATCAGCTGTTTTCAGTTTTCCGAGTCCTTGCGTAGCGTTGCCATGACTATTTCCGACGACACCTGAAATTAGCCAAAAAACAGTTTTAATATAATACGAAATCTTGCCTACAGGGCAAAACCTTTCACTACGCCAGCAGTCGTAATCTGTAGCTAAGGCAACCGATGCGTAGAGTAAACCTTTCATTAAACAAAAAGTCGCATATAAGTGTTTACTCAGCGAGAATTTTACCCAAGACCCCTCCATCCTTGTTAACCAGAATCACTTCGGGATGTTGATAACGTCCCCTTCTCACGAGCGATACGGTCTCTACAGAAATGATGAAGATCTCCTATGGTCAGCACTGTTTTAGTGGCAACCGACTTTCGGTGTGGTGGGGAACATCCAAGCGCGCGCCGCTTTCTTTAAAGACCTCTCGCAGTATTTCGTTAAAAGGAATTTGCAAGAGGAAGATGGCAAATTGCACGCGGATGCACTACCACTCCATCATAGAACGTTTGTACCTTATAAAGAAAGTAAAAAGAGGAGCCTAAATAGCACCTTTTAGTGGAAAGAGAGAAGTACGGTAGAATAATATTTCTAAAGATAGTAATGTAAAGGTCACTGCTTCCTAAAATAAACAAGAGAAAGAAACAGTGGTATAACTCCCTTAGTCGTCCGATCAATGACCGGATCGAGGAACACAAAGCGGCCGGTACAATTTCTGGCTTAGAGATCTACAGGCCGAGAGGCCAAAATATGCGTGCAACCTTTAAAAATTTATGAAAATAAAAATTTCACTAAGTATTTATTATTAATAAAAGGACTCTAAAGAAATTTGTAAAATAGTTAGAAAATAGTGAAGAGAAATTACTTAACCTTCCTCCTTTATAGCCCACATATTGGCCCTAAAGTTTACTTTTGTTGGTTGTATGGAACGAGATCATCCGCGTCTAGCAAGTAACACACAATCGGAACCAGCAATGATGCCTACTTCCAGAACATCAGAAGACTATAGATTAAACTGAAAAGTGGACTAAAATCTAATGTGAAAAATAATGATGATATGAAGACATAAGCCAACACAACTATCATTATTTGCATAAGTTATTACCATGTAAACAAGAACAAAAATATTACAATGTTAGTACAATACCTCTCCAAAAAGGCGTAGAAACTATCTTTTCCCTATGACTGTTAAGAAATCCCTCGGATCATTTAACCCAGTCCCTCCATCATGCTGACCTTTAAATATTATTAATACAGTGTTTTAAGAAAAAGTTCAATAAAACACAACTTTGATGATGGAATAAAAACCAGCACCTGCGCGGAAAGTACCCGGGTCTTAATATATCTAGTTGTCCCACATGACCCGTGCTAGTAGCACGTGAACCTGTCGTCGTTTGTGGGGTTTTTGGAGTGGTTTTATATTGTGACTTGGTGTTTACCACCATCTACGGTACTATACCATATAACTAGGTAGTATACACCTTGCTCATATATTTATTAACAATGTAAGTAATATATTCTGTGTAGTGAGTGGTATTCATTAGAGATTGATAAAGGAAAAATGATAAACACTAGCAGACCCCATCACATCTATTACACTTCAGTTATTTAGTATGTGGACTGCATTTATATCATTTATTAAAGTTAACATTATATATATATTAATAACTGAAAGGCATAGTCATAGTCTCTTATGGTGTATGCAGTTGTATCGTTCAAAGACTTCCACAAGGCCTATCTTTCCTCCCAGCCAAAGTTATCATGCTTACTTTAGCAGTTGGTTACTTGTATTTATAGTAATTTTATGAGGGGTTTTACACCTGCGATATCAATAAAGGCTATAAAAGACCGAGGTTACATGGTTTTTTAGGAGGGTTGATCTTAGAGGTTTGAAGGTTCGAAGAACTATTATATTGTAGCCAATAATTAATGTAATATAAACTTACAATTATCTTTATATCTTAAAAACAAGAACAAAATATAATATAAGATTTTTCGAAGCTTGGAAGTACGGTAATAGTTTATTTGGCGGTCTTTATTCACCTTAGGTGCGCAACAACCACCTCCAAGTAACAAACAGAAAAGAAGAAGTATGTGGTACGCATATCATTATTTATTTTATATCAAATGATCGGTATTGTGCTAGCGGTTGACCCCTCCCGTTAGCTATAATGTATACAGAAGTGCGTATAATACGCAGTCACCTTAAGACTTAAATGCCTCTCGCGCTAGTAAATTTACCAAGTGTATGTAAAGTGTGGGTTACTCTCTCGAGGGCGTATCGCTGATACACTAAAAGCGAATGGGTACTTGGTCAGAAGAGCAGTATCAGTCATTTGATTATAGATTAACGGTCGTTCGACGATTAGAAGTGAGAAATTTCAGTAGTAAAGTAGGAGTTCATGAAGTGGTTTTAGCTAAAAATGTTCATTGTAACGTATGCCCGGGGTCTCCTTGACTAAAGAGAGATTTAAATAAAGAGTTTAATTCAAAAAAAATTACGTTTCTAATAAAGTTTGACTAATGTAAGGTAAAGAACACCAGTTCTTTTACCTTTTTAGATAAGGTAAAAGTATTTTAACCGTTGGAGTTAAATAAAGCAAGTAAAAGATTTTTGCCTTTTCTATGAGGATCAAAGCCAGAGTGCAGATGAACAATTCTACCGTTTTTTTATGTTAATGTGTTATTTGATTATCAGAAAGGAATAGATATATAACCGCTTAGCTTGAAGATGCCTCATATATGTCACTGATATTAGCTTTAATGTGTAGTCAAGCTAAGTGGGATTTGTATAACTTGTAAAATCGGTATGAAACAGTATATTGTCTTGGAAAGTGTAAATTTGTAAAGACTCCTGCAAATTGACTATGCGTAAAAGAGGAGTAAAATAAGTTAAAAAAAGTGCAACGAATTTAAATTTATTTATGAGGAACGATACAACCAAAAGATTATAGAGTGGGGAGCAAGTAAAATTCAACTAAGACAATTTTACAAACAGACACATCCGAATATAGTATGACTGGCGTATTGCTACAGTGTTAGAAAACAAGGCACATCAAGTTGTGTTCAATAATGCACAAAGAAATTATAGTACCTCCAAGCCAAGAATTGTTAGAATAAGTGTGGTGTAGAAGGCTAATAGCTAAGTCAGAGTACCGAGAGTTGTTTACATTTAAAATAATTTTAAAAGTGAATCAGTGCGTTGAAAAAGGCCTTAATAATGGATAACAAATCATGATTGTTTAGTTGATCATTACAGAATCATCTAGGGAGTAATGACGCAATAGGTAATTTAGGTATAGACCAACTAAGAAATTATAGTAAAAAAGTACCTCAACACGTAATATTAACTGTAGTGCTCAGTAATCAACGGAGCAGCGAATAACTCGTAAGAAAAATTTAAAATTCTAAATGTCATAAACTAAACATATATATAATTTATGCGGGATATGGAACAACACTAAAAAAGTAGTGGATAACTATAGTGTCAGAATTTTGTGAACAAGGATCGTCACCCTACTTTCTTCTCAACCATTGTGTGTTAGCTAGCATTTTTGTTCTATATTGGTTCATAACTGAGGTTTACCCATAGTTGTTCTTTTTTAAATAATCTCATCATTCCCTCTTTAGTTTTAAGACTTGGGGTATTATTATTAAGTTTCTGGATATTTATTATGTTAATTTTGAGTATTTTGACATATTTTATCACTTAGAAGGATATAACATATAATAGAAACAATTACCAATTTCCAGCTCATCTATAGATGTAAAGAGTTTTTCAAAACTAACTTGGTTTATGACAGTGATGACAGTGGATTAATGGAAGTAGCTAAATTCTCCCGCTATTTACAAGCTTAAATATAAAAGAGAGTTACCATTAATGAAGTACTAGATTAGCTGGTGAACACTTGTAAGATACGAAATCAGGAGAGACTAAGAAGACTCTGTGTTTATGAAAATGAACTGAAAAGCGTTTTTACTAAACATAATATCGGATACCTCTGCTCATACTAGTAGTAAAAGTCTGAAGTATTGGATCCTTCTCCCTAGTATTAATGTTAGTAATCATAAATAATCTGCTTACATTTATATTATTTCCTAGTTTTCCAAGTTGACATCTCCTGCATCCTTGGCATTATAGTTACTTTTGGTAAATTTTAGGTCATACGTTCTTGTATCCTGAAGGGGCACATTAACACTGTCCACGTGAGATGCTTTAAGCTCTGGATCTTTGTTTTGCAGTTTGCTTGCGATTACGCCCGACTGCAAGAGTATGCAAAGTTGTTCACTTGGTTGAGCACCAGAACAAGTAATTTATAAAGAAATAAAAAAAATAAAAAATAAAGTGGTTGTTACTCTTTTCGTTTAATTTTCCTGTGTACTTTTGTTCTCATTTTTTTAATTACGTTATATGCTTGTCTTCTTTTTTACGTTTTCTTATCAATCTTTTATTGATTTTTCTAACGTTAACGAAGTTTTTTTATTTATATCTATATTTTTTCTCTTTTACATTTTGTAATATTTTACTGTCTCTGTTCTTTCTTCTACAAATCTATTATTCATTTTTTAATCCAACCTACTATTATATTATTCCATTAATTCTAAAGCTTTATTTATATATATCAAAGCAGTATGTATTTTAACGATTTTTAAAATGCTAAATACCCCAAAATCAGGGTAGGTATCTTTCTTGTGAAACGAAAGTTAGAGTCGTCAAGGATATGAAAAATTCTAGCAGTGGAACTTCCTTAGTGGTTAATATAAGCGTATTTATATTGATATTTTTCAGAAGAGGCGTAATGTAATGAATTTTTTCATTCCATTTAGCCCTGGGCTCGGAGTGGTCACATTTTAAAATTTTCTTGACTCAGAACCCCTAAAAGTATCCTTAGAGTTTTTTTGGCCTAATTTTCCCATGTCAATGTCAGCATTTACAATGAAACTCTTTTTTATAACATAATGAATTTTGAAAATATTGAGATTAATAAAAATTTTATTATTTTTGCATTCTTTGGAACATGTATGACACAGATTTTCTTTCTGTTATATTTAATGCTTATTTCTTTTAATTAGTCACTTGTCAAAATTTTGGTGGACAGCCCACATCTCTTAAAGTTTAGATGTCAGTACCACACTTCTGCTTTGGACCTTCAGTTTCTAACTTGCTCTTTTTTTTCCTTCTTTGATATACTAATGCAAGTATTAATTATAATCAGCAAAAGTTTTAATATCTTCCCAAATTTACGCTATCTTTTTCATGGCGTCTCAGTAACTCTCCATTCAAATTCCCCTTTTTTTCTTTACGCCTCATTTCCTGGACATCTGGTTTTACCTTCATTTCTTGAAGCATATTCGCAAGAAATGAAGCTCTTGCTCCATAAGGTGTGTATTTTGAGTTTTTTAGGAAAGTAATAACCAATATAAGGCTATACAACAAAAGAAGGCTAGCGACAGACTGCAAGTATTACTCTAACGGAAAGTACTCGCCTTTTCCCTCCAAGATATCAGTTCCTCTTTAACTTAATACGTTAAGGCGCCCACGAGAAAATACTTATATGATCACTAATATAAAAAGAAATTTGAGAATAAGATATTAATGTGTGGCAATATATGGTTTGAGATAATCTGTACAATTTTTTATCAAGAATCTGTCTAATCAATTACATTCAAATATGAAATCAAAAAAATTTAGCTAGATGATTTTTTTTTTGGAATTTATGTTGTGTCTGTGTAATTCAATGAATTGTTAAAAATTTGGACAATTTAAAAGAGAATTTGGTATAAAGAACCCCAATGCAATTTAATATGATTTTGAGATTATAAATAAATATCATTGAGCGATACAGTCTTACTTGATATAGCTCCCCTTTTAAAACGATTGGCAATAAGGTAGAACTTAAACGTTGATAACGAAATAAAGACCCCCTTTTCTTAAAACATAAAGCTAAAAATATCTAACGTTATGTATAATGAAGGAATGGCAGCCCTGTAGGCTCCGCAGGAAGCGTTGACGAGGGAATAAGGCCAGTCATCGCGTGTGCAACTGCTAATTTGGAAAATTTATTTAAAATAACTGAAAACCTCACCTTATATTTTTGATGTTGAAGTCGTTAGACTTTTTTAAGGGCGGGCTCAAACCTCTCTTTAGCTTAATAATACTGTACTTGTGAGATCTTCCCACCATGCCAAAAAGTAAACTCTCATTAACGGAACAAGAACGATCTCAACTATTGCGCTACGACTTGAGTATAAATAGACGAAAGCTCCAAAAAATTCCAGAATTAAAATTTGTTAAAGTTAGAATATTTTCGAACATTCCTAACCTTTATTTCTTTGTTTCATTTTATTACGTTATTAGCACTTGGTCGCCGAGAGGTGAAAAACATACAGCTACGTCCTTACAGATCTCTTTTCTTTCTACTTTTTTTCTAATCTAACTACATATATATTTTATATTTCATGTAATCATATTTATAACTTCTATTTGTAATTAAATTTTTTGCTTTTCGTAAATATTGTTAACTTATCTTTTTACTACTCACTTTATACTAAAATAGCTGATATTAATACTTTTTAACTATGCAATCTCCTACAATTCTCTTCAAACTACAACATCGGTTAACCAAATCCTACGGGTCGCTTTACCATAAGACAGTTGTTAATATACATAAAACTAGCGTTAGGGCTACACAAGGCATCCATGGTATCTTCTCTACCATTTATGCTAAAATACAAAAGCGGGTGTTATAACACAAATTATAATGAAGAGCCTCCACCCTGAGATCAAGTCAAGAATTAAAAAATTACGAGTGGCTGGCCCATGCATTTAGAAGAAAGTCACTTGTAAATCCATGAGCAAGATAAATGAAATCTGCAATGCAAGAAAGAGAAAATGACGAGGCCGTAGAACCATTCCCCAGTTGTTTGGACCATGTATCCACTCAAATAGACTACTACCTCATCGCTGGAAAATGAAGGTGCATATTATCCACCTTTTAGAAATAATTCGGTAAACAAATCACATTAACAATATGCGCAGAACGCCTTAGTGCAAAAATCAGGCACAAATCGAAAACGACCCCGCTTCTTTATTCTTGAAACGCCTCCGTAATTTAACGCTCTTACATGGGAAAGTTAAACTTCTAAATTTTTAAAAGGCTGACCCATTCCTGCAAAGCTGTCAGAGTCGGCATTTAAGATCTTAGTAGCCACACAAATAAAAACTTATAATTTCTGTAATAAAGTTGACCAGATCGAAGAGGCATTCCTTAATACATAACCAAAATTTACGAACTTAGTAATAAAGTTGGTGGCTGATAGCGAGGCTTACCCTCATTTTATAAAAGTTAGAGTTGTTAATTAATGATGTTCAATATGATAAACATGTTATAGCTACAATAATTGCCAGCGCTGAGCTCTATCAAGCCGGTTATTTACATTTTTTAGATCGTGACAAGTAATTTAGTATAAAAATTAGATATAACCTGACTTCCGTAAGTGAATAAAGGGTTTTATATATGCTTTAAAAAAAAAATAACAGTTATTAATAAGATATATAAAGTTACTTCTCAAGACAGGAAAGAGATCGTATGAGGAACACAACTATGTTTTAGTCGCAACTGACGCTAGATCTATAAGAATCACCATTAAACTATAATATTAACGCATATACAAAAACACATAATGCAAAAGGAAAAACACGAAAAATAAACAGCACACAGAACTAAAAAGTAGTATAACACATTAAGCGTAAAATACACTAACCGTAAAAACACACAAAACACAAACCCTAAATTTTTACAGGAAAATGATTCGAAGTAAACCAATTTAATATCAAAGAACGACCAATAAAAATACGAGATAAACATTTTCTACCGCATAAAAAATAATTTGAACCACTATTAACTAAATACAAACTAAACAATATATTTACAAAAACTAATATGATTCAAATAATTTTATTATACAATATGGAAGCATCTATTGATCTTTTGTAAAGGTAAAATAGAGAACGAAAAAGATCATTTAAGTATCCTTAATATTTGAGGTATATCTTGTGTTTTGTGTATTTTATTTTATACTCCATATCATCTTACTTTCTTATACACATTATTTAACTCTTATATTTATAATAATTTTCTTTTCTTGAAATATTTATGTGGTTCTAATTGAAGTCTTTCTCCAAGGTTTTTCTTTAAACCGAACCAATACGATCCTACTTTGAATTGCTAGGCCGTAGATAGTAAACAAGCAAGAGTAAAACACCCAGCGAACAAATACAGGCCAAAAAATTGAGCTAAAAGAAAAAAACCCTCCGATTTATTATTTATTTATAACTCTGATATGCTACAAGCAGATCTTTCTTTTTATAAGTCTCAAATACTGCTTGATCTAATTTTGTTGTGGCGAAGCATCGGATGATAAGGTAGTCAGGTTAATTAGGTAGCCACTGGAGCATCAGACGCAATCAAGTTGATGTCGAGGTCTCCTGTATTTCTTGTTAAACTCGTATCGTAAGTTACTTTTTGATTAAATAGAGGATTAGAATGAGCCAGAAACTTCCCATAACTCTCTTTGGCTGTACGTTGAAAAAGTTGTGGTTGACTTCCAATATTTAAGCCGCGGTAAAGAATAAAGCTTGGAACAAACCCTAGCACACTAAAATAGTTCTCAATACAGAGTTTTTCATAACCTGGAGTAGCTGAGTAATGGCAGGGGGACAATTTAACCACGCCACAGATGCGTAGGTCAGCTTTGATCTTATACTGGTGAGATAAAGTTGAAGCTTGTTGCGTTTAAAAAGAAGACTTTTCCGGCATATAAAAGAAAATAGTAGCTTAAAGCTTAAGTTTAACTCCTTCAAAGTCCTTCAAGGACATGATCTCAAGGTATATGGTTCTCGGAAGGTAAACAAGATTGCCCTGCGTTATATCCATAAACTGCCGATGCAATTTAAAACGGGTGACTAGGCGAGGGGCTATGGACAGACCCCTGCTCTTATTCTTATCTCGGTCTTCCTCGGTTACCGAGGACGGACAACCGTAGTTTCGCCTTCCGATGTCCCTTCAGCGTCAGCAGTGTCCTCATCGACCAGTATAGCGGCTTTAATTTTGCGGTTTTTTTAGCCTTTTTCGTGACATATTCAATGTGGTTGCGCCAAGAGAGTCCGTTGTCTACGGTGACGCCAGATAGTTTATGTTAGTGCGCCAGGGTTTCCGTTAATGATAATAGGTTGAACATTTACTGTTTTACATTTTTTAGTAATGATTATGGCCGCGCTCTTTGAAAGTTAAAGTGAGGTGCCACTGGCGAACCAGAGCGATCTTTTTAGTTTATGCTTGCACATATTTTATTTCTTTGTTGTGTCTTCAGCGAATTGTGAAAAAATGATGTAATATTAGTCGATCTGGGTATGTTCGCCATGTAAATTGAAAAGAGGATAAGTAACAGTAAGGAAATTTGTGGTACGCCTTCCTTGAGTTCCTTTAAACTAGGGCAGTCCTTTCGAATATTAGTAAAAAACTTTATACGGTGCAGAAATGATTAAATAAGGGTGAGGAGGTAATGTGGTATTCTTAGGTTAGCATTTAGTTATGAGACCTACATGACAAACTCTATCAAAACCTTTTCAATATCGAAGAGAACGGCGCATCTGGAGTTGTTGTTAAATCCCTTTGTCATGTGCTCGGTTAAACCTCCAGAGTTGCTGCGTAGTTGAAGGGCCCCTTCTGAACCCAATTTGGTTTTCAGCGATGATATGGTTTTGTTCTACATATTTCTGTAATGACCTGAATATAACTGTCTCTGCTACTTTGCCAGTACAGGATAGTAGACTTACTGGGCCACAGTCCGCGAGGTTTGAGGAAGGATTTTTTAATTTGGTAGAAAAATAACAGTGGCGTTAATTATTAGAGTGTGAGTTTGTATGGCTGACTTAGGTAAGTTTCTTAACATGAGGTTTGTTATGCTATCAGGCCCTAGTGACTTATTAGTTGAGAAGGCGTTAATAGTTGATTGTTCCTCTTCGAACTTTGTAGCGGTGCTTACTTACTAGAGGAGTATAAAAGTTGTGTGAGCGCAGTTGTCCAAGCTAAAGAAATTGTTAAGGGTGGGCATTGGGACAGGAGACACTGAGTAAAGACTTCCGCTTTTCCTTCGTCGTCGTAAACGGTCCTGGTTTTCGACTTTAATAGGAAGCTGTGCTGTTTATGGCGGTTCTTTACTGATTTAATGAATTGCCTATAAGAGCGAGAGCTATTGTTAATTCCTAGGTTGGAAAGCTAATTCTCCCATTCTCTGTTGTGAAGGGTGAGGAGCCTTATTTTGACCTTTTTGTCAAGGTTGTGTAATCGTTTATTTTCAGTGGACTGAGTTCACTCAAACCCCTCTTTACTGTTTTCTAGATTGAAAAAGAACTTCAACTTCTGTCTTTAAATGTTGTTTTAAATATGATTGTCTCATAGTGGTAGAGGCCCCTTGGTATGTTCGAATGATCGTACTTTCAAAGTTTGCTACTGAACCTTTGAAAAGTGCAGACGAATTAGATCTCAAAGGGTTGTCTTTAAGTCTTTCCTCTAGAAGATTCTTAAAAAGTTTCCAACTGGTGAATTTACGTAATAAAAGCGAAGAACCGATTTCTGGGGGCCTTTTTCGAGGTGTACAGGTAGGTGACTGAGGAGAGCTCATATAACATCTTCGTTTAACTTCGACACAAATATTAATAATAATTGAAAAGTCTAATACATCAGCAGTAACCCACTTAGGGAAGTGTGTTGGGTTTGTTGGTCTCCAAACAATTAACCCCCCCTTTTCTTCGGGGTACTTGTTGAAAATTTCTCCATTAGGATTCCATTCTGCTATATAAAAATGACTTATTGCAGTTCAGATAGCCACATAGAATTAAGGGTTATAAACAGCTCATAACGAGGTCCATTTACTAGGGACTCTAAGAAATTTATTTGTAGAGATCATCGCTACATCGCCTCGACCATATAGATTTATTTTAATTACACTTGTCTTGGTGAAAGTTAACGGATTAAATAAAATCTCTGAGTGGGCAGTGTGTCTTCTGACCAATACTGCTACACCTCCTTTCAGAGTCACCTTTACGGTATACTATTTAGTTGGGCAATTTAGATATTTCCGAGTTTTAGGTGTGTTTCGCTCACACTAACTATATCGATTTTTTCTTTTAAAAGAAGCTCTTCCAACTCCTCTCTTGCATCGCAGGCCATCGGCTTTCCAGAATATAATACGAATGTACTACAATGCGTTTTGCAGGAGTACCATAACGATTTAAAAAGTCCATCAAGCAATTTGACTAGTAAAAAGTTTATATCTCAAATTTAATTGGTTATCCGTAAATCTGCCTTTAGTGCGGACTCTCTCTTTCGAGGAGGTAGAAATAGTTTTTTTAAAGGGCGTGTCAAGTTCAGGTACAGAAGTGGTGGGTGTAAAACTTCAATTTTCTTAAGTATAGGTTTTTCGATTAATATATACATCCTTTATAGTTTGTAGTGTGATTGTCCTGATAGTAAGCACATTTTGGTGCCTCCGATGTTTTTGTGCACCTTATAGTTTCGTGATTTTCACCACATTTGACGCATTTGTGGACTGAGATGCAATAATTTGAGTTACGACCCGAAAAGATGACAGTGATGGCATTGGCCAAGCCTAGTGCTGTTCTTCAGGTTTTCCACGGGGCTTGGGAGATGACAAACAAAAATAACTTTCTAAATTGATACTTCAAATCTTGATAGATGCAAGAGAACAAGTGGAAGCGCTTTCTTATCGTCTCTAAAGCTTTTCATTCGAGCAACTTTCAACTGGTGGAAGCCCTATTATCCTAGATCTTCTTTGATCTTCGCAGCCCGATTTTGGAGATATCCCTCTTAAAACTACTTTAAGTGCTCGCTCTTCAGGTAGTTGACAGGAGTCAAAAATTCATAATTTTTTTCAATGAGAAGCTTTGTGGCTTTTCGAAAGTAGTCAGAACTTGCAAAGGAAAACTTTAATGCCATTTCGAATATTCCTTAAGGTGAAGTTGTTGTCGATACTGTTTGACAAAAGAGAAACTACTTCCAGCTATTTATGCTTTTCACTTAAAACTATGGAAGAAATGTTTATTTTTGGGGACGTGTCACTAGTATTGTCGCTGGTGGTGGCCTTGATATTATTTTTGGTAGTCTTACCACTACTGTTGCAGCTCTTAGTAGTAGGGGTATAACTGTTATTATTAGTACTATGGTCCTCACCACTATTGTTAGTAGTACTATACTTACTACTATTGTTACTTTATTATATTCCTCATTATAGACACTATTTTTACTATAGTTGT